TATGTCGTGCGACAGATACTACATCACCGGTGCTCCCAATGCGTATACCCCGACGCATCTCTCGGCAGCACCCTAAACTCCGTCGCCTTCGACGCCGTTTACGTCCAGTTCTGTACGTCTCTCCCGGAGCCTTTACCAATCTGCGGGCGATCCTCACAGCTTGGCTTCGCACGCTCGCCCAGACAACAACCCCTGCGGACTGAACGTTTACAACAGCTCGAACGTAAGTGCTTCCCAGCCTTCTGAAACATCCGTCACATGTCCGCTCAATCGCCGTCCGTACTAGGGCTTTAATTTTGGTCTCTGGTGAGGAGTTGCTCTCTTTCACTTGGCCCGGCGGATTTGTCTCAGGCTGTGCGCGCATCGCCCAGGGACATCTGGGCGAGGAGCAGTCCAAACCCGAACGTCAAGGTCTACGTCGGCGCGCCCGCGTCATCAACCGCCGCGGGCTCCGGATACGTGGATCCGTCGACCCTGGCCACGATCCTCGCGAAGACCCGGGACCGGTTCCCCTCTTTCGGAGGTCAGTAGCCCGCACGGCCCTGAAGCCCGTCGTTGGACGCTCGTGTGGCTCAACTTTCTTTTTTCTTCAGGGGTTATGATGTGGGATGCCTCGCAGGCGTATGGTGAGCACCGCCCGGTACACGAAACGAGTTAGCGTCGGGGGCTGAAGAGCTGGCTTTGTCAGCGAACAACCGGTACGACGCGGCAGCCAAGAGTGCGCTAGTCGCCGCCGGGGGCACTGGCTTCGAGTTCCCTGCATGCTCTGCGGTGGCCTGGTCGGCTAGCGGCACCTACCCTGGTGGGAGCCAGGTCTCTTACAACGGGTGCGTGAACAAGAAAAATTCTTGCTGGTCCTGCAGACGAGCTCATTTTGGTCGATGTTCCTGTGCACAGTTACATATGGCAGGTAAGCCTCCCGCGTTCGCATACCCCCGGGGGTTCACTCGCTGATTTGCCGCCATGGATTCCCAGGCGAAGTGGTATGCCTCCGGTGCGCCCAAGGCGGACATGAACGGCGACTGGCAGCCTAGTGCGTCTTCATTTCCTCTCCCACCGACTTCCCCGTTCTGATCGCAATGTCTGTTGTTTTAATTCTTGTTTCATTTCCGCCCGGTCCGCGACTCGGACAGTCAGCGCCTGCGCAGGAAACGCGCCCTCGAGCACAACCACCAGCGCGGGGAGCGCGCCGACGTCGGGCACCGGCAACTGCGCGGGTGTCGCCGCCTGGGACTCCTCGATCGCGTACAACGGCGGCCAGCAGGTGACCTACAAGTGCGTCATCGTCCCCGCGGCTCGACTCGCCGGCAAGCCTGTTGACGCGCCCCGACCCCGCCTTCGCCTTTCACCTTCACCTTCGCCTTCGCCTTCGCCTTCGCCTTCGCCTTCGCCTTCGCGCCCTTTCGTACACTTTGGTTCTCGGTCATTTCGCTCCTGCTGCCTCGTTCGGAATTTTCCCGCGTCTGTTCTCGTTGCCCCTTTTGCTACCGTCCCCTGTTGTGTTCTCTCACAGCGGCCACCTGTGGACGGCGAAGTGGTGGACGCAGGACGAGACGCCGAGCAGTAAGCTCCCCTCCCTATTTGCCGACACTCCCCTGCTCACCTCCCGGGTGTCCGTCATTCTCCGCAGGCACGAGCGACGTCTGGACCGACTCCGGCGCGTGCAAGACCTCGGGCAAGGAGCAGAGCGCTAGCGCCAGCGCCGAGGCCACCAGCAAGACCGACTCCGCGACCGCACGGCCGCTCAAGTCGTCTCGCTTCTTCCGCCTCTGAGCGTCCTGGCGCAAGAACACGGGGATCGGTGACGCAAGGTCCTATCGTCGCCTTCCCCGTCTCCCCGACGCCACCGGCACGCGGTAGAGCCACATGTTTATTATCGACGCCCAGCATTCCACGCTCTCGCTCTGGGCGGCCGCGCGCGCACGCGTCCACATATGCGTATCTGAGCGGCGCGTGGCAGGGGAGTCCTATCTATCCGTCGTCTATCTATAGGTCGAGGCTCTCCGATGATTTATCATGTCATGTATCATGTATTCTACGATTACGACCCTCACGACCGCATGTATGTATGTACGAGGAGTATCGTCGGGCGCGGGTGTACGATGATGCGCACGGGCGGAACGGTGGAGGTGATAGAGCGTCCGGAATCTTGCAATGTCAATGATACCCTACATACAGCGCAGAAATCGGAAGGACGGAAGACGGCACGTGAACCCTTAAGTGTCGTCGCGGGTGGTCTCGAGCTTGTACCCGGCGCCGGTGTGTACTTACATAGCACAAAGTGCCGCGGGCTTCCAGTCGAGTCTGATATCTGCCGACGCCGACCCGATGGAAGGAGCGGCTTTCAGTGAGAGGAGATACGGGAATGAAGGGCGTCCCGCGTGTGCCCCGGTCGCCCTGACACGCGTACGCCTTTCGATGGAACTGGGTCGGGGCGAAGGCGGCGGGCGCCGCACATATAGTCCCTGGAGGGCATTTGAGATTCAGTCGGGATCAATACTAGTAGATGGTTCATACAACCATAAATCCTGGACGAGCGACACGCGGAGCGCGCTCGAACATGAACGCTTCGGAGGAGTTATGATTCGGGGAGACTACAAACATCCCGCGCGCATCGGGTCGTACCGCTGTCCGTGCAATTGATCAAGACAAGAACGTAAAGCAAAACGCATTGAAAAGTGCCACGAGGAAGGAGGCCGCGCGCGCCGCGTAGCCCGAACTTGGCCAGGTCCAGACACTTGCAAGGCCCCTAATATTAGGCCCGCAATTGATGGTTTCCTACACATCGATGCGCAAACCGCTCCTGGAATGCCGCATGCCGCGTGGATGGCGGGCGGCGAGACAGTGTTGACGTCATCTGCAGCCGCGTGTCCCGAACGATCAGTGCCAGAGGCGAGTGCCAACCCGTCCCATACATGCACATCGTCTCAACATCCTCAGCACTCTCCTAATCCCAACTCTCGCAGTGCTGCAGCCCACGGCATGTCCGACTCCAAACAGTCAAAGCTCTTTGTGTTTCCCATCTAGGTCGACTCAAGCATGAAGTTTTTTTGGGTCACTGAGCTTTTGTATCCCGCGCACTAAGTGCAGGTGCGGTGCATGGTGTCACACAGGTATTGTGCTGGTTGCGACATCTAGGGGCTCTTCAAGACACGTCATCGCGTAACCTGGTGGGTTTGTCTCGGTTTTGCTGCTCCTATTGGCTTGTCTCATTGTGGGGCGTCCGCGAACGTGAACGTGCTTCCTTATACGATGTGCGAACGCGCTGAACATATCCTTGAACATGGATGCTTGACATTGCCTACTCCAGCTTAGAACATCTGGGAATCTCGACGATGGTATTCATTGCCAACGCACAGTGGAGCGAGGCGCATGCGGTCTTTGATGAATACCATATTTTCGACCAAGCGTCCTACTTTCTTATACATGACTGTGTTTTCCATGACGTCCCAAGTCCGTCTACATCAAGACTATGGGTACCCCCTGCTGATGCGTTTACATGTACTTGGATGCTATCCCGAGAAGACCGCGTGGTCCCCGCTGAACCTGAGCCTACGTTCGACAACTTAGCCGCGGGTCCTGAGATCACTCGGGGGCGCGTTTTCTGCGCCGAAAGTGCCTCGGGTCCGGATTCGAAAACAGGGATATGTAGCGGGTGAGTCGTTCCCACGTGACGGCTGTGGTTTCCAGCTCCTCGCGTTCAGAGTTACGGACTCCTGTGGGAATGGAGCGACAACCGTCTCTGGAATCTACGCCCCGCTGCGCGTGGTCGTCATCGAGTTGTTCCGGATGAGCTCGTCTTGACGGATCGAAGTCTACCCGGTCCATCTCAACAGGTCTCGATGAGAATGTGCTGGCGACTCATGAGGATGGCACGCCGCTTGCGATGCTATCACCGTCGAAAATCGAGCTAAGCCTGTCAATTGATCAATCGGATCCACGGATCACTCCGCCTACAAATTAGAACATGATAACGCCGCAAAACTACAAAGCGTTGCGCACATATACGTGCAAGGTCTGCTTACCATCCATAGAACCATGACGCCCCGGCGGGCTTCGTGCCCCTCAATCACGACGCCGACCTGCGAGCGGTCCTCGGAGACGTGGTGATTCGATGCGCCCCGTCACCAGGGAGGTACGGGGATGAAAGGGCGTCCCGCGCGAGCCCGCGGGCGTGCATCGCGCCCGCGCCCACACAGCGCCGTTCGATGGAAGGCGTCGCGTCGGAGGGAATGCGCAGTCTGCGGGCTCTCGGGGAGGCACGCGGCAGGGTCCTCGTCGGGATCAGTACTGGACGAGGTCTGCGTCCACAGACGGACGGACAGACAGACCCTGGCGCACGCGCCGCGCACGGTGCACGGATCGCGCGCGCACACACACGGACGAGCGTAGCGCGGCGGGCCGCGATCTCTTCTTTCGGGAATTAGGGAGGGGGTAAAAAAGATGGGCGTCCCGCTCGTGCCGGCGATTGGGGGATCGCGTTCGAGGATCCGCGCGTCGCGTGTCCGGACGGCTGGCGAAGGTTTGGCGACCCTGTGGCGAGTGGTACTAGGAATGCGGCTGGGCTGCCTTCCGCGCGACGGGGGAGCGGCATCGGGGGCTCATGTCCGTTCTATCCAGGAAGGCCGGTGTCTGGATCGCGCCTTCATAGATGGTGATTATCGGGGAGGCGGAGATGGTCGCTTGGTGCGCCCGCGCGTGGCGTCTGGAGGAGTGTATTCGCCGTCGGGCTACCGTGAAAACGAGGCGGGACGTGTGAGCTCGGGCGGCGGAGGGTGGACGGGAATGAACCCACTACACCGTGGGATGGGATAGAACTCGTGCCGACCCCAGGGAACAGGGGGGACGGGAACGGTCTGGAGAAAACCTGGATCCAGGGTGTTGAATGCATCCAACGCAAAATGCATTCGATGCACGCGCGCCGCGCCCCAAGCAGCAAGGTTCACGTGTATGTGCCTCACGGCAACGCCACAAGACGGCGAAGGGTCTTCAAGGGTTCTCGCTCCATTGTGAAGGGAACGGTGAGACGGAGGCTCTGAGGATTTGTTGCGGCTTGAGAACCACCGGTGACTGTCAGGCGGTCCGAAGACATGAGGCGGCCGAGAGCGGAGTGGAGACCCGAGACTGCTGTCGTCGAAGCATACCGTGCGGAAGTTATCCGTCCGTCCACGGGTGTGGTTTGAACCAGCGTGGATGGACATGTCATTGCCACGAAACGGGTCTGTTCGCTCCGGAACGCCTTGGGGTGAGCAGGCAGCGATGTATATGGTTCGGCTCGACTCACCGAGTTCGACTCTGGCACGCAGGGCGTTCGCGCTGACCAACGTCTCTGGCGCGGGAGAAGGTAAGACACCGGCCGTCATTCGCTCGCCACAGGCATGCGCTCACCATGACAGACGTTTCAAAATGTGCGACGGCGCAGAACTGCGTGCGTGGGCGAGTCAGCGACAGTCAAAATACACCATTGGCACAGTAGTAGCGGACCCGATGCCGCAGCACGAACTCACTGTATGCATCGTATCTGGGTGTGGTCTTCGGCTGCGGCGCAGAGGTACTTGTGTCTCTTCTCCATATGCTTCGCAAGGTCTGCGTTGATTCCTGCAGTACAATCGCCGACGCAGCTTCGACGCAGCTGTCCGCAGCCAACAGTCTCTGGAAATCACGGTTCAAGAAGCTCGAGAGCATGTGAACACGGAATACGCTGCTGCGGTGGATCTCGTTGTGCCCAGCCACGTTGTGTCAAGATGCGTTGGAGGATGTCGAGAACCAAGGTCGTCCAACGACTGCGGCGGTGACTGCGCTTGCCCCGGCCACACCGGCCCGGATCCCGGGCGTCTCCGGCACCACGCTCGTCTGAGTGTCTGCTCGTCGGACCGTGTTCACAAGCGTTCGTCGTTGTTTTCATTCCGCGCACATCGGAACAGCACGCCCCGCCCCGCTGCGTCCCGGGACCGAACGCGCGTCTTCGTGCGCCCATCTCCTCCGTCCAGCCAGCGGCCGCCATCCAGAGTCGGACTCCAGACACCAAGGAGCAGCCAGGGCCCGACCAGACAAGCCCGAGGCGTGTGTGGTCCGCGCTCATCCTCGTCCTCGTCCTCGTCCTTCCAGCCGCGCTGCGCACCGGCGCCGCCTCCGGGCCTGATGGGCCTGAAGCTCGAAGCTTCGAAGGCCCGACGCGTCCCCCCACGTTTCGACGCCGTCGGAGTCTGTCAGACACAGCTGCCACCTCGTCTTTCTTTGGCCCGCCGCCGCACACGCAGAGCCTTTCGCTTTTAGCCTATCAGGCCCGTCGAAGATCAGAGCGTTCCCGACTCCCAAGCCAACCCCCGCAAGCTCTGCGCGCCGCGCGCCAAGGCCTCGGCCGGGGGTCCGCGCCGCCAAGGTGCCGGCCGCGGTGGGAATCACGCCAAGAGACGGCGCGGCTGCCTCGCCCACGGTTGTCGGGCGCGCGAGAGCTCTTGGAGGCCGATAATTATAGCCCTGCTGACCGCCGCGGCCGCGCGGGGCCCATCGATGGGCACGACGTTTGGACCTTGGCGGCGCGCGACGTCCACGGCGACACGTACGACGGCACGCGGACGCTGCGCTGATCCACGGCTGGGCACACGTAAATTCGCGGGCGTGCCCAAAGGGACGCAGAGTATTAGGTTGCTCGGTCGAGGCCGCGGGGCCTCGACGGGCACTGCGTATGATACAGAGAGCGCTGTGCGCGGCGTGATACAGGAGATGGACAGAGAGACCTTGACAGACAACACACGACCGACCGACAGACGGGGACGACGGCGGGCACATACAGCCCGAGAACAGGGCGGGCGAGAGCGACTAGAGGGGTGCTAAGATACGGTATCGTACAACCCATCGTGCAGCGACGACAGAAGACCCGAAAGGACACAAACTCGAGCGGCCGACGATCATCGATCTCGCGAACCCATCGACGTGCTCCGTTCGGAGCTCGTGTGCCGCACTGGCCCGTCCTCATCGCGCGAATGCGACGTGAGCAGGAGGGAGTTGATCGCCATCGACTCGCGCGACCGTGGCGAGCCCCCGGATGATGTCGGTGAGTACGGCAGAGGAGGGAGCGCGTCGTGTGGGTGGTGGTGACGTGCGTAGGGCGTAGGCGAAGCGCGCGTGCGGGGCGGGGGCGACCGGGACGTGCGGCGGCGTTTTCGTGGGACCTGGCCGGTGGAAGAGGTCGAGGGGCGGGGCTCTCGCGCGGCGGAGGGCGAGCGCGAGTGGTGGCGGCGCACGTACGCGGGGTCGTCGTGCAGCGCGGGCGGGGAGTGGTGGTAGGACGCTGGGGGGGACGGGAAGTGGTGCGGGTGCGGGTACGCGGAGGACGAGGCGGAATGGGGGCCGTCCGAGAGCTGCATGGCGAGCATGGGCGGGACGGGGTGGAGGGGCGGGGCGTGGTAAAAGTCGAGCAGGGTGCGGTGGAGGGTGGCGTGAGACGCGAGTCGCTAGGAGGAGGATGAGCACGTGCAGGGGAGTGTAAAGGTTGGGGGCAGCTCACCTGGTCCTCTGCGCTCTTTGCGTTGAGCATGGCGAGGAGCATGTCGCGGTCACCGTCGCCGCGGGCTTTGTATGCCTCGAGGATCTCGCGGAGGGTGGGCGGGGGCGGCTGTGGGTCCAGGTGCGTGAGCGGGAGAGCGGTGCAGGCGCGGGCGGGCCGGCGCGTACCTGGTCGAGGACTCGGAGGGAGGAGGCCAGGAGAGCCTTCATGGTGAGGTCTGGGTGCGGGTGCGGGAGGCGGGAGTAGGCGGGCTCGGGCGAGAGGGCGTGTGGTGGCGGGGACGGGAGGGTGGCCATGGGTCGAGTGGGGCAGGCTGAGGAGGGGTCGGGCTTGGTGACGAGACTGGGCGCAGGGAGCGTATTTGAGCGAAGCCAAGTCTGAGCACTATCTTTGCCCTCCGTCTGGAGAGTAAGTAAAATTAGCGTGCCAAGCTTTGCTCGGAACCCGTCCCACCCTGCCTGTCCCGCGTCTCGTGCACTCCTCGCCCTGCCCGCGAGCGACCCATGCCGTTCGCGAGGGCGCGCAGACGGGCGGTGCACGGTGGGCGTGGGCAGGAGAGCAAAGTGCTAGGAGGAGGTAGGAGGAGGAGGAGGAGGAGGAGTGGACCGTGGCGGGTCCCCGAAATAAGCATGGGCGGTGTGGCTATTCCTGGGGAGGTTGGCTTGGCACGCCGGATTTGGCAGACGGAGGCTTGTCGTCCGCCTATTTTTGCAGGCCTTGCTCCTCCAGCCCCTCTTCGCCACCGCCGCGCCCGCTGCGTCGTCTGCTGTCCGGAGCGCGCCTCCCGGACCCGCCCGCCGTCCTTCGCCCAGCTTTCTCCGCCCGCAATAGAACACATCATTCAACCAGCCCGCCCAGATATAGCTCCGTTACTGCCAAGCACAAGCCAAGTCGCTGCTGCCCACTCTCCACCCGGCCTTTCCTCGACCACCTCCGCCCCTGCCGCTCCCTCCTCGAGGCCCACCACACGGCCCGCCTGTCTCATTCTGATCTCCCCGCTCCGACCTGCTTTCCCGAGCTTGGCAGCGAGCGCAGCATCCCTGCGGGCCGGACCCCGATCTGTCCAGATCTGTCCACGCAGGTATCAAGTCACGTGCCTCGTATCATCTCGCGGCGCGGGACCGCCTCTGGCGCCCGTGGCTGTATCCGCTCAGGGAGCGACACTAGGGGCGTCATCGTGACTCCCTCACTTCGTGCCATATAACGGCCTCCCTCTCGCTCATACCCGCCACCGAGACCCAGCCACCTACTGGTCATCCAACATGGCTGCCAACTTCTCCAACCTTCCTGACGACGTGCTTCACGACACCCTCCTCTGTATGTGTGACTTCCACGACCTCGGCGCCACAATCCGCGTCTCCAAGAACGTGTACGACGTCTTCAACTCCCGCAAACGTCTCGTCGTCCGCGCTGTATTGCAGAACGTAGCAGGCCCGGCATGGGTCCAGGCAGCCCGCTTCGCCCACATCAGGCTTTATGGACCTTTCACAGACGACCCACCACTCCCCGAAGAGAGTTACTTTGAAGACTTGGACTGGGCGCCATCGCGCGATATTTTGCGTCGCATGAAATATACTCAAGAAGTGCGCTACCTGCAAGCGTTCTATAGCCAACGGTACGTCCATTCGGGACTGCATAGAGGCACCGTCCGTCGAGCTGACTGTCGGCCCCCCCAGAAACAAGGATCGCAAGTCCCTGCAGAGCATGTTAGATTCCGTGGAAGCAATGAGGTTTGACAGAGCTCTGTATCGCTTGTGGCTCTGGGCCGCTCTCTATGAAGATTTCATCGACCTATACCGCGGCGGGTTCGATGAGGATGATGACGACGACGACGACGACGACGACGGCTACGACAACCGTAAGCACAAACAGGCGCATGCCCAAGTCACACAACTTTTCCAGAGTTTGCCCACCGAAGAGTTACTGGAAGCCATCCATATCGGCTCATATCTCCAAGAGACGGTGGGCTGGCTCGGCGTCGTACACGCAAACTACAAATACCGTCGTAAGATGGTCCCGCACGTTACGTCTCTCCTGCTGATGAGTTTACAGGAACCCTCCCTGAGGGCGTGCTTGCCGGCATCCAGGCAGCGGTGCGGGTCAGCAGTCACTCGGACGTCCCTGATTTCACCAGTCTTGTGAGACCCTTGCTCTCCTCCCGGAAGGTCAAGAAGGAGACGATAGACGAGTATGAAACTTCGCCAACAACCATCCTGTCCACCGTCGCTGGCCGCAAGGATACTTGTACGTGCATGGCCCCCAAGTCTTTAAACGTGTTTTCGACTGAATTTTGGTGCAGGCACCCGTTGTGGAGCCTCAGGCGGTACCAGGCTCATAGGCTCTCCAAGTGCGTGTGCCGGCGTCTCAGCCCCGTCTCCTCTGACACGTTTTCCAGACGCCTGGATTATTGCGGGAGAGTGCAGGCTACAAGATCGCAAGCTCCTCCCGGGGCTTCTGATGAGCAACCAGTGGGAGTGCGACGCGATGTATGGCCACCTGTGGCATGAGAACGGAGGCAAGGCCGTCGACGAGGCCGCGCTCTTTCATGAGATGGTCGACCTCGACATGGGCCCGGACGCGGAGTCGTGGTCGAAGGACGGGTGGTACTGCCGCGAGTGCTTTTGCGAGCTCTATCGGCAGCGCTTCATGCAATGGTGGAAGGTCACCAAGGAGAAGAGTGCGTGATGGATCCGACTCCGCTGACCGCCGCTCACCACCGCCGAATGCTGACTTTGTACCTTCGTTCAGATGGTGCCCCTGTGCTTGATGATTGCTGGTGCGTTATTTTCGTTCGGGCGATGATTGCGCTGGATAGTCGCTCAACATCTTTTGGCGATATAGGTACGGCTACAATTGCCGCACGATGACCCACAGAGAAGCGCATGCGACGAAGCTAAACGTACGCATATCTCCTCATCGTTCACAAGGGCGAATCTGACGACGATCCTTCACAGCACTTGTGCACTCCCACGCGGGGAAATGGTGCATAAGAGGGTAACAGCTGTAATCGCAAGGACTTCGACTGGTGGTCTCTGGAGTCTGGAGTCTGTTGAACAACCATGTCTCTGTCACGCGCTGTTTTCTTGCTGTTGATGGGCACTGTTGGTCACAGATCCTTGCAAATATATCTTTGACTGACACTTTTAAATATGACAAACGGGCGAGGCTCGATCCCTACGTTGACACAGCACATCCAGGCTCGGAGCTAGGTGGGCTTTTGCATACACTGTTTTTAGCTTAGTGTGTACCGTGCTGGAGTACTTGCCCCAATATAAGTGAACTGGGTCGTCTAATCTATTGACGATAATTCGACGACTCTGTGCCAAAGTTCACGCTTGAGCACTTCAGTGAATTCGATCCAGACACGATCACGTGCATGATACGAGCGTGTTTTCGACCATAGCGCCTTCCACAAGACCACCATCATCTCGTTGGTACCGAGGCCAGTCCGAAGGCTTCGCCGGCGATCCGCCACAGCGGTCCCGTAGACGGGCTACTCACCTCGCGGTTCCCCTTTCCCACTGCACGGACCACGACAATGATGCCTGCAAATTACTCCGCCCTCCGATTCTGGAGCCTCATCCACAAGATCCTCACACACGTCCCCGGCTTTTCCCCCGTTGCCACCGCCATCCGCGTCTGTAAACGGACATCCCAGGTCTTTACGGTCCACAAGCCGCGGCGCTGCATGCCGCCCATCCGCCCCGCGTTCGCGCCCGCCGTCCGCCTCGCCCACCACCACCTCACTGCTCAGCGAGGACGGCACGGCGACGTCCGCGCGCGGCGCTCCCCGACTCCGAGGCGCGACGCTTCGCCGATCCAGCTGAGATAGGGTCCCCGAACGCATACTGTGGGATGTATTGGCTGCCGCCCGCGCGGCGGATGCGCGCGAGATGAAGTGCGTCGCCACCCCTCCTGATCTCGTTTGAGGGCTTTTCCCGTGCTCACCTCGCGTCCGCTCCTGCCCAGGTACGAGGACGGCTGGCTCGATCCCGTGGAGACGCTTCGGTTTGACCGGGCCTTCTACCGCGTCTGACTTTATGTATGTGGAGATGCTCGAGACGGGTCTGTTCGGAGTCCCATCCGGCCTGCGTGGGGCTGAGGGGGACTCTAAGGACGAGGACGAGGCGGCGAAAAAACCTCCTTGAAGAGCAGAAAAGGCAGGAAAAGAGTGCTCCCGGAGCGCGCCTTTTGAGCGCGCGCTCTGTCCAGGAGACGATGGGGCTGCAGCGTGTGGGACGAATGGTCACTCAGGCGTTCTGCTGGCCACATCAGAAAGTTGTGCCCATCGCGGTGAGCGGGACTGAAGCACCTTTTTTTGCCTCTGAACTGACCGACGGTCGTGCGGGAATGCAGGAAACACCTTCCCGTCGCTGTTCTTGACGAACCCGAGGATCGTGGCCTTGAAGGAGAAGGTGGCCCGGGTTGTTTCAACGGCCTTCCAGTCGACGCGTTATCCACGGTGTGGGACGTCGTAGACGGGGCTCTCATCCGAGCCGGTGTTGTAATGAAGAGGACCATCAAGTACCTCCAGTGTGATTCGAGCCTTACTACTAGTGCGATCCTGAGCACGGCGTCGAATATGTAAACGCCCCGTAAGTTCGTGGCCTCACTTGACTCCTTTTGCTTTGCTGACTAGTGTTACGGGTAGGCACCCTCTGCGGCAAGAAACCAATGGGGGTGACCTTTTTGGACTTCCTGGTCAGCCGGGTGGTCTCCTTCGTCGACTCGCCCTCGCAAACACACTTTGGCCTCGTCTCAGACATGCGGATACTCACGGGTGAGGGAGCACTGCGGCCTTCTCCCCAGCCTTCTGCCAGGTCATGGTTGCGGATGCGAAGTGATCATCAACCATGCGCTCAATGACAGCGTGCAAAACGCTGAAGTCACCATGTTCTGCGACATGGCTCGACACGCGTCAAATGTCTGCAAAAGCTCTACAAGGAGCGGTTCATGTTCTGGTGGTTGTTGGAGCGGGACAGAGGTGAGTCGTACGGGGATCTATGTGTAAATACCCTAACGCGTTTGAGGTGTCTTTAGATGAAAGCGACCGCAAGGGCCACTATGAGGACGACTGCGATGTATACGGAAATAGGAAGGAATGATCATGCGTTCCCCTTTCAACGTCTAGAGATTCGGCTCACTCGCGAACCTAGATATAGTTACGACGTTGGCCACTCAACCGACGACTCATTCTACAGTGAGGACCACGCGCAGAGACTATCCTGAGGGATCGCTGTGACCCCCTTCTCGGAAGACTTCCCAGATACATAGAAGGCTGTCAAAAGCCCTGTGCTCGATGGCAAACGCGAGGACGCGGACTCGGCTACCATCTTTCAAAATGACATTGACTTTTATTGGGAGACCTCAGCAAGGTTGGTACTGTCTCGACTGCCTTCGTGCGCTCTACGAAGAGCGCGCGTTGTGGACTGTTGGTCATGGAAGCAAGAAGAGGGTGGGTGGCACAACCCTTCGTCCGAGAAAAATATTTCACAAAGCACACTTCTGTATATTATAACGAGGGAGACCGTCGATGCATACACCCTCGAGTACCCGGTTTCTTCTCAGTCTGGCTCGCTTGTTCCGATATGGGTATGACTGTTACCGCTTGGGAAAGATGCATGCACGCGAGTCAACGCGAGTCCTCCTCTTGTTGCACCAACTCGATTGTATATCCGCAACATTTTTGTCGACCCGCCCGAGAGAAAAATGAAAGCATAGGATAGGATGCGCCTACGGACCGCCCAAAATGTCTATCGCTCAAATACTGTCGGAAAGCAGAATGAATGCCAATAGGATATTGAGTTCCGCTGATTTCTGTCCTTTTTTTGGGAGAAGGGCGCGTTTCGTGTAGCAACTATCGATGCCTTTCTTGAATTATGCAGCAGAATTCCTAGTCAGCTCATTGATTGACAATGAAAGTAGAACCATCTATACTGTCTTAGTATGATGTCAGATTCCGGGCCGCCGTTCCCGCTGCATCGACGCGCGTTGAACGGCCAAGCTGCTCTCAGATCCGCTTCATCTGCACACTCTGACCGCCCAAGTTACTGTCATCCCGCTTTCCAGGTCTTTCGGTTTGTGCGTGGACAGCAAGAGCAATGATACATGCAGTGTTGATCTGTGAGGACCTCCTTATCCTCTATTCTCTGAATGCTGGCTCATGGCTCAGTCATTCAGTCAACACGTCAGGCGTGCCGCGTTTGACCAAGTTCTATACTCCGATACATCAGGCTCCGCAAGCACTCGTCGAGAAGATCTACTCTCTGGTCTCGCAACGACCGGCCGGGCTCTGCAACTTCCTCGATGCTCCGGAACTCGACACCTTCCTCAAGCCCAAGGACCCGAAGACGAACGCCGCAGCGCAGAAGCTTCGCGTCGTCTACCGCAGCTACGCGACTCTCTACTTCGTCTTCGTCGTCGATGGCGCAGAGAGCGAACTCGGCATCCTCGACCTCATCCAGGTGCGTCCACGTCCTTTCCCACTCCCCTCGTGCCAAGTCGCCAACCTTGTCCCAAATATTCCTGCTGGTGCCGTCACCCGTCGGCCGGCAACATCGCCGCAAACTGCCGTGTCCGCCCAGGTGTTCGTGGAGTCCCTCGACGGCGCGTTCGAGAACGTCTGTGAGCTCGATCTGGTCTTCCACTTTGACGAGGTCCGTGTTTCGCCTTCCCTGATCCCGCGCGGCTGCCCTCTTTCCCGCCCGCACGCCCGCACGCTCACACATCCCACCTCCCCGTAGGCACACCACATCCTCGCCGAGGTCATCCAAGGCGGGCTCGTGCTCGAAACGAACGTGAACGAGATAGACCGCGCCGGTACGTCCGGTCCCCTGTCGCCTTCTTCCCTCGCTTCTAGCCTCCACCCGTTGCTTCCCTGCATCCCCGCTTTCTCCGTGTATACCCCTGAACCCGCCGGGCTGACCTGACGTCCCCTTGCACCACACCGCAACCGCTCCCCTGCGCCCCGTCCTTCCCGAAACCGCAAAACGCAGTCCAAGACGCCGCAAAGGCCCGCAAGGAGTCCTTCGCCTCCGCGAACCCGCTCTCCCTCGGCGGCGGCGGCGCGGTCGGCTCGCGCAGCGCCGGCCTCCAGACCCCGCTCAACTGGCTCGCCGGCAGGCTCACTGGCGTCGGCGCGCGGTAAAGGGTGCGAGCGCCGCCCGTCGTCGTCCGCTACCCGATCCTGTTGCCACTCGTCCCGCTCGGTCCCGGTAGCAGTGGCCCCACGCGCCCGGCCCCGCGGCGGGGGGAGCGTCGCGCACGCGCGGCGCTGTGCGGGGCCCCGAGACCAAGGGTTCGCGTCGCGACGGACGGTTTGGACGACGCAACGCGCGCCCGATATGGAGCCTCCGGCTATCCAACCGCGGCGTCGGCGTCGGCGTGCGCGGGGAGTGCACTTGGCGGCACGGTGTCGGTTCCCAGGGCAGGAGCTGCGTGTGCGCCGCTGGGTGCTGCGCACGAGATTGTCTTTCGAGCGTGTGAAGATGTGCACAATGAAGGACGATGTGCGCGGGCACTTCCATAGACGGTACACTAGTTCTACGATGACAGGGCGACCATTGGTTGTACTTGCGTACCTGCACGACGGGGTGGGATGTGTGGCGCGCTGCTTCTGACGAGCATACAGTCGTACGTGCGAACCTGATCGTGTACGGCGACCCCTTAGGCTGGTGGTGGTGGAAGCGTCGCCGTCCCTGCGCCGCGAGGAGGGTGCGTTGAAATGGGAATGAGCGGGCACGCGGTGGCGCAACTCACGTTTCTTCTTCTTCTTGCCTCCTCCGGGCGGACCTTTTGTTGGCTCTTGTGGTGTGGGGGCCACGGACGGAGCCCCTGCGGCAGCGAGTCCGGCAGCAGGTGCCGGAGTGACGGACGATCGTGCTCTGGGAGCCGGCGCAGGCGTTTCTGGGACGGTGTCTTCGGATGGGACTGCCGGGAGCTGGAACGATTGTTGGGCATGGGTGTTCGTCGTGGTTATTGCGTGCAAGAGCAACATGCTGTTCTGTTGCCGTTTGGCTCCACCAGACGCAGACGCAGAAGCAGAAGCAGAAGAAGCAAGCCCTCGCGCGCCGGGCACGCTCTCGTGCTCTGGTGTTTCAAGAGCCGCTTCGCCGTCTTGGGCCCGCTTCTTCCCTGCACCGTCCCCGGACGAGGGTTCGACGATCGGCCAGACAAATCCTGTCCGGGGCGTGTATGCGGGGCGGTGCGCGCGGAGGACGTCCAGAGAACTTTGAAGGGCATGCAGGGAGGCGAGCTGGGCGGGTCACGTAATGGGCGAGGGTGCGCAGGCCGAGCAGGATTGGCGTGGGCTCACCAGCCTGATTGAGACGAGGGAGTACACGTCTGGGGCTTGATATATGCGGTTGTTCAGGATGAAATACACGGCCAATGGCCGGACTGCCCGATCGGGGAGCTCAGACGGGGAGGGCGAGAAGACTCACCTGCTCACTCACCTTCGTCGGGTGAGAGACGTTCGCGCTTGTGGATTATAAACAGCGAGGGTGGCTCCGCATGGGTGAGCGCAAACTCAATGCCCGTGAATCGCCTGGGAAGGTGTGAGACGCGTCATGGGATCGCGGGCGTAGCGGCGCACCTGAGCTCCTCAGCCTCGTTCTCCAACAGCTGCCCGGTGTGCATGGTCTGCATGCGCAGGACCTGGTTGTTGCTCTGCTTGTCGTAGAACTGGGAGTTGGTGAAATACTCGAACGCAGACTCGGCGGTGAGAGGGCCATGTGCCTGGACAGCGGGTGTGAATCATGCGCCAAGGCGGATGTGCAGCGAAAGATACCTGGATCCATTCGTGCCAGATGAAGTAGAGCTGGCTGCCGTCGTCCGGGTGGAGGTCTACGTCCATTGCGTGCGCGCGATATCGCAGCGTTGCGCGGCGGCGAGAGGGAGAGGTGATGGTTGGAGAAAGCGGAGGATGGGGCCAGGCGAGTGGCTCGCGGGCGCAGGGCGGGCCGCGGGCTCGGGAAGGGCGGCAACGGCGCACGGGCTCATTCGTCCCACACCGAACGGCGACTTTCCCAGTGACGAGGCCCGGGCGAGTGCAGTGAGAACCGAGCTATAATACGCCCGCTACCGCTCTCCTGTTCCTACCACTGTCCTGGTGCCGACAAGTACTGCTCTCGCCATGCCGGAGCTCCTCCCTCCCGCCTCCTTCCTCCTCGATGTCCCTCCTCGACCACCCAGAGCGCGACGCCGTCTACCGTACTGCGTCCCTTAGGAGTGCGCCCTCCTGGTCGGCGCGGGCAGCCTACACAGCGCGCCTTGTCGTCCACCATCTCACCAAGCATGTCGGAGTTGGCATAATCTGCTCTGTCGCTTACTTCGATCCGTGAGTCTCTTAGAGTTCGCCTCATCCCCGTGGCCGCCCGCGTGATGCCATGCTAAGGTTGCGTTTCCAGAGGAAACTGGAGCGTAGACCTCCAGGCGGGGTCTCTATTTGGCTACAGGCCGATGCTCTTCATCGTCCTCATGGCCGGCCTCGGCGCGATGGTGCTTCAAGTGAGCCTCCATCCCGTTCTCCTTGGCTGGGCACTGACGCATTTGTCTCAGTCTCTTGCATATAAACTGGGCTGCGTCACAGGCCTAGGTATGCGCAGCTAGACTCCAGCGGTCCGGCCGTGTCGTGACGCTGATATCCGCGTCAGACCTCGCATCTCACTGCCGGGTGCTCCTCTACGACCGGCCACGGCACAAGTACCTGATCCGATATGGCGTCCTATACCCGCTCTACGTTCTCTCTGAAATTGCCATCGTGAGCACAGACATAGCGGAACTTATTGGGTCTGCCATCGGCATCAGCCTCATATTTCCGTCAATTCCCCTTTGGGTCTCGGTACTTATTACGGCTTCCGACGTGCTCGTCTTCCTTCTTATTGGAGATCCTTCGCGAGGCAGTGGCCGGCCCGTCAAAACTTTTGAATATGCCGTCATGACCCTTGTGAGTGTAGGCTACATTCTCCCACCTATATGTTATTCACGGTCATTCACAGGTCGCTGCGGTTTTCGTCTGTTTCCTCGTCCTACTCGTCCGAGTGGATCCGGTGTGGTCCCAGGCGTTCATGGGCTACATTCCGTCCAAGGCTCTGTTCGAGACCCACCCAGATGCACTCTACACAGGTAACGGACTGCGCATCTATTCCTGAGGGTGAGACTCATCCGTTGCTGCTTCAGCCGTCGGCATTCTCGGAGCAACCGTCATGCCACACGCCCTTTTTTTGGGGTCATACCTCGCCACCCAGGACAGAATCGGACCAGAGCTAGTGCTCCCCAACCCTCAATCAACGCCGGAGGCCCCGGGCATCCGCGGCAAACTATCTGCATGGTTCAAGTCATTGTTCACGATCACGCGGGCCGAGCGGCGAGCGGCAGCTATGGATTACCGGGACAAGTATGGCCGAGAGAACAACGACCTCAGTTTCATCCAGGCCCACCTCACTCATGGCCTTGTGGATGTGATCGTCAGTCTGTTGGCTGTTGCCGTGCCAATAAATTCAGCGTGAGCGAAACCCTCCGAGCCCACCGGCGAAGGTTCGGTTCCTGAAGCTTCTTCGTTCCAGCATCCTCGTTATTGCAGCCACCGTCTTCTTCAAGGACGATGATTCGTCCCAGAAAGCCGTCCCGGCCGGACTGTTCGACGCCCATGATTTGATCAGTGCGAACATTGGCAAGGGTGCGTTGGTTTGATCCAAACGGTTCGACTCACGTAAGGCGGAGAGCGAGTTGAACTGATGCTATCAACCCTCTACCCAGTCGCCGCCTTCATTTTCGCTCTGGCGCTCCTCTGCGCCGGCCAAACGGCGAGCATCACGGCGACCCTCGCGGGCCAGCTCGTGTCGGAAGGGTTCATCGAGTGGAGAGTGTCCGTACGTACCATCTGCATCTCAGGATGCAATGAACCGCAACGCTCACCCCTCCGACGGTTCGTCGTCGCCAGCCGTTCCTCCGCCGCATAATCACGCGGCTCATCGGCCTGATCCCGTCCGTCGTCGTCGCCATCGCCGTGGGTCGGCCGGGCATCGACACCCTGCTCGTCGCGTCGCAGGTCGCGCTCGCGATCGTGCTTCCCTTTGTCGCGGCGCCGCTCATCTGGCTCACGTCGTCCAAGTCCGTGATGTCCGTCCGCAAGCCGGCCGCGGACCCGGCGACCCCGAGTGCTTCCGCCGTGACGTCGCAGGCGGACGACGTGTCCGCGTCCGCTGCGTCCGAGCCCGACAGCGCACTGCCGAGCCCTGCGCCGCCGCCGTCACTGCCACTCAGCATCGACGAGGTGCAGCTGACACCCGGTCCGCTGGGCGACGATGAGAAGCACGGAGGGCGGATGGTGGCCGTAGTCGTGGAAAAGCAGGAGCGCAGGCTGCAGGACTCGGATTCCGAGGCGTCTTCGTTCGACGAGGAGCAGTACGTCTCCTTCGCGAATGGCGGGATAGTTACATCGCTAGCGTACCTCATCTTCCTCGTCATCCTCGCGGCGAACATGTACGCGATCGTGATGTTGGCGATGGGCCGAACCTCGTGACGGGGTTGGTGGGGATAGGACTGTATATTTAACGATACACTGTACTTCTAGCTTCGGACTTCTGACAGAGAGCACATAGTTCGGGATAATGTCCATTCCGCGAGAAGGATGCACATCATCATGGATTGCTATTCAAACATTCAAACAGGTTTGAGCACGATCGATGAAGTGAAAGTCCACTAATCTCCAAGTCCCAACGTGCTGCGCCGACGTCAGGATTGAGCATCGTCGGTCCAGTCGTCGTCGTGCCGGAGTGATTCAGAGCCACATGTTGCAAGGATCTATCACCGACAATGCCACTCAACAGCCAAGAAAACAGGACGCTTAACAGAGACAGTGTTCCCTGACAGACTCCAGACTCCAGAGACCCCGAGTCAAAGGCCTTGCGAGCACAGCTGTCACCTTATTATGCACCATTTCCCCGCGTGGGAGTGCACAAGTGCTGCGAAGGATCGTCGTCAGATTTGCCCTTGTGAACGATGAGGAGATATGCGTACGTTTAGCTTCGTCGCATGTGCTTGCTGGTGAATCATCGTGCGGCAATTGTAGCCGTACCTGTGTCACCGGGAGATGTTGAGTGACCATCCGGTGCAGTCATCGCCCGAACAAAAACGACGCACCAACAGTCATCTAGCACAGGGGCACCATCTGAACGAAGGCACTAAGTCAGCATTCGGTCAGCAGAGTCAAATGCATCACGTACTCTTCGCCTTGGTGACCTTCCACCATTGCATGAAGCGCTGTCGATGGAGCTCGCGCATGCAATCGAGGCAGTACCACCCGTCCTTCGACCACGACTCCGCGTCCGGGCCCATGTCGAGGTTGACCATCTCATGAAAGAGCGCGGCCTCGTCGACGACCTTGCCTCCGTTCCCATGCCACAGGTGGCCATACATCGCGTCGCACTCCCAAGGGTTCCTCATCAGAAGCCCCGGGAGGAGCTTGCGATCTTGCAGCCTGCACTCTCCCGCGAAAATCCAGGCGTCTGGAAAACGTGTCAGAGGAGACGGGGCTGAGACGCCGGCACACGCACTTGGAGAGCCTATGAGCCTGGTACCGCCTGAGGCCCCACAACGGGTGCCTGCACCAAAAGTCAGTCAAAAAACACGTTCAAAGGATTGAGGCCATGCACGCACAAGTATCCTTGCTACCTGGGACGGTGGCCAGGATGATCGTCGGCGAAGTTTCACACTCGTCTATGGTCTCCTTCTTGACCTTCCGGGAGGCAAGCAAGGGGCTCGCGAGACTGGTGAAAGCAGGGAAGCCTATGTCGATGCTGACCTCCAACGCTGTCTGGACGCCTGCAAGCACGTCCTCTGGGAGGGTTGCTGCAAACTCGTCAGCAGGAGAGACGTAACGTGCGGGACCATCTTACCACGGTATTTGTAGTTTGCGTGCATGACGCCGAGCCAGCGCTTCGTTTCTTGAAGAAATGAGCTGATGTGGATGGCTTCCAGCAGCTCTTCGGTGGACAGCTTCTGGAGGAGTTGTGTGACTCGGAGACGGGCCCGTTTATGCGTGCGGCCGTCGTAGCCGTCGTCGTCGTCATCATCATCATCGGATTCGGATTCGGATTCGTCGTCGCATAGGTCGACAAAATCTTCATAGAGATCGACATAGAGCCACAGGCGATACAGAGCTCTGTCAAACTTCATTGCTTCCGTGGGATCTAGCACGCTCTGCAGGGACTTGCGATCCTTGTTCCTGGGCGCGAGCCGACAGTCAGCGGACGGAGCCTGTGTGTAGTCCCGAATGGACGTACCGTTGGCTATAAAAAGCTTTCAGGCGGCGCACTTCTTGAGCATATTCCATGCGATCCAAGATATCGCGCGACGGCGCCCAGTCCAAGTCTTCAAAGTAGCTCTCTTCGGGGACTGATAGGTCGTCTGTGAGACGTCCATGGAGCTTAAAGTGGGCGAAGCGAGCTGCCTGGACCCAGGCCGGGCCTGCTACGTTCTGCAAAACAGCGCGGACGACGAGACGTTTGCAGGAGTTGAAGACGTCGTACACGTTCTTGGAGACGCGGATTGTGGCGCCAAGGTCGTGGAAGTCACACATGCAGAGGAGGATATCGTGAAGCACGTCGTCAGGAAGGTTGGAGAAGTTGGCGGCCATGTTGGATGTCCAGTAAGTGGTTCGCATCAAGCTGGGTCGGAGGGAGCGACGATGCTTCTCGAGATGGGCGCCCAAGTTCCTGCGCATGATGCTGGCACGTGACTCGCGATCGCAGATTCAGACGAGCGGACCGTGCGGTGCGACTTGAGGACGCTGCGGCACGGCCGCACGTCGTGGGCGGAAGCTCAAGGAAAGTCCCGGCGTGCGTATGTACGTTGCAACTGGGCTCGACCATCCGGCCGTGTGCGTCGTAACTTCCACATATGGAATTTACAATGATGCAGAGCAAAAGATACTAGCCCACCGCGAGGGTCGAACTCGCAGCCTTCAGATCACCCGCCTTAAGAGTCTGACGCTCTATCCGATTGAGCTAGGCGGGCGTTATTAAGAGATTTTAATGATACAAACTTCATCAAGCCGTGACTGAGACACTTCCGACCCCGACTTGTCTTTCCCCTGGGTATCTCCCCCTAAAGAGAGACGCCGAACCGCTCTCTCTCTCTCTCTCTCCCCGTAGCTCACACGATTCTTAGAATACCCGTGTGTGCTGCCTACCACAGGGTTCGGCCCTCGGGGGCGTTAAAGGGGGGCTGATATACCAATAGTTGTCTCATATTCAATGTCGCCCGCCCACTGAGAGGCCGTTACGTTTTTGAAACATCACCACTCAATTGTCCCGTAACGTGTTTTAAGCCTTCAGTGTTCAGCGTTGGGAGCTCTCAGCGTTGACTCGCGATACTGGCTGGCACTTTTAAGCTTCTCAGCTTGGCCATGTTGTAAAAGCGGTATCGCCATTGCGAGGGCACTAATGAGCTGACCCAACCTATATTCTACGACAAATGCTTGAGATGGCGGCTGAGCGTGGCAGCCGCAGTTCATCAATCGTTGTTGATTACTTCAGCGCAGAGCTGGCACACAGCGTCCGTCGCTAACCAAGCAGTTGTGAACCTGAAATGTGTCTGTCTCGTCCAGTAGTAGCGTACATTAAGTATCTGCTTACGGCAGGATCCGAGAGATAGGAAGAAACAACGGCTATGCAACTTATACTAACCGGCGCGGGATCATCATACAAAACGTACATAGAGGTGAGCGAGATGGGGACGTAGACCAAAGCGAGTCAATATTGAGACCAACAGAACAACACGTTGAACATTGAACACCTCTCACTCTGACTATCGACGTCTAGGGAGGAAGCAGGTGGTTATATAGGCGTCGAAACAGGCGAGAAAGAGCTTGCTTACCATATCAGACCGTGAAGGTGCAGCGCAGCCCGCAGTGGTCGCTCCAGGGCGTACTCGGGCCGACAAGACCGGGTTGGAGGATTTCGATGTCGGCAGGCTCCAGACCCAACATGACGACCTTGTCCAACCTGCCTGGCTCGAGTCCGTCCTCGAGTTCGACGCCAACACCCCACGTAGCCCCTTCATCACGGCCCGTCGTCCGCCCATGCAGCTTGACCCAGGCGTCGACCAGCCCAAATTTCTCGACGAGCGTAAGATCGTTAGGTTCGACGGCGTTGAAGTCCCCTGCGATGACGCCGCCACTGCACCCGCCCTCACGCAGGAGACGATCTAGCAGGAATATCTCGTACGCACGCCTGAAGTGCGAGTCGAGGGAGTCAAGATGGACGTTGAGGAGGCGCAAGACGTTGCCGGGCGTGGCTGGGTCGCGGACGTTGACGCAGAGCGCATCCCTCTGGTACCTGCTAGGCAGCGTCATGCGAAAGACGCTGTCGAGCACCATCTTGGAACCTCCCCTTCCCTCTCCCTTGCCCTCACTCCCGTCCTTCTCGGCGAGCACGTTCGACGGAGAGACGAAACGCTCGTTGGAGAGCAACGTCATCGTCGCGAACGGTACGCCCTTGAAATCCTTGTCGTCTTCCGCGTCGGACGCGAGGAAGCTCGAGCGTACTCTGGGGTCGTCGAGCAGAGACCGCCGAACTTCCGACGCGACTTCTTGCAGAAAGATAATGTCGGGGGACTTGGGTCCTTTGAGGATACGGTCGAGGATGAGCTGGGAGCGCTCGACGCGCTTGACCCAACTTGAGGCCTGGATGTTCCAGGATATAAGAGAGAGCCGCTCGCCGACTGCGCGGCGAGGAGGAGAAGGCGTTTGGACGATTATGTAATGGGGCAAGCGGGCGAAGAGGCAAGGCTGTCCAGCGACGCGCGGCGTGATCGAAAGCAGACAGAGGACGACTCAATCGTTGAGGGCTGAACATTGGATGATTAGGGTGCGGTGCGATGAGTGGGGAGGAAAGCGGGAGGGAAGTTGTAATGAGGTTTCAGTTCACAGCGCAAATCTCCCTCGACGTCGACTTCCATGATCTCCCCGATACGTTACTCCACGTCCAAACGTCCAAAAAGCCACCATGGAGCGCAAACTCCGCAAACCCCTCTGCCGTTTCGCCCCTCTGCTTCGCCCATCGGGGGGCAGGCCCCTCTCCGCGGGACTCCGTAAGCAATGGTAATCATTTTCATCGCGACCCCGCCAACACTCGAAAGCGGCCAAGTGCGGTGGGCACTGAATATGCTGCCGCGTCGGTACGCAGCTTTACCGGGCGCTTAGCGCGATCACCAGTCGGGGAACCCTTGGTTCGCGCGCGGGGAGGGCCCAGGCATCCCTTCAGTCACAACCGCGATTCCCTCCATGCACGGCGAGCCTCATATACCACCGCGTTCCTACGTCAGCACATATGCGCCGCACAGATTTCCAGAAGCGAAGCTCGACGCGCGCGGACCGCGGCCGACCTGAGACTTCGGGATCAATCAAAGTACGGCCGCGCCCGGAGTCCCGAAATTGAAGGCCGCTCGCCCCGGGCCTCTCGGCCTCGAGCTCGCAGAGAACGGGGGAGCGCCGGGGACGCAGTACGAGTGCCCGCTGTGGCCGTTCCAGACTTCTGCGAGTGCCGCCCCGCTGTGCCCGAACGTTTTCATGACGGGGGCGCTGTAAGCACGGCCGGCTCGAGCGGAGCTTCGCGTGGGGGACCGTAGCCTATTCGATCGGATGTGCTGCAGGCGAAACAGGCTAGTACCGCTGCACGGCTGGCCGAGGGGGCCTAGAGTCGTTATGACAGCTGGTAACAAATCGACTATAGAGACCTCGGCTTCCCGCACACACGCGGTCGATGGCGGCGCCGGGGCTCGAAAAAAGGTTGGAAAATGGCCAGACTGTAGTGTCAGCCGCAGGTGCACTTGCCGCGAGCGCGCGCGGGCTTGGCTGCAACATGCACAGTCCGTCAAACTTGTGCACAGACAGGTTCCCGGTCGGAGACTGGAGTGCTGGATGCGCTGACCCGCACGTACGGGCTCCTCGGGCGAGCTGTCCAACGCTGACGGCGTCCCCGGCACCGCTATCGGGCTCCGACAGTGGGTAACTAACACGGAGTACTTAGAGTCCGCACTTCGGGAGCGCTGGAGCGGCCGCACGTACGTCCAACCGGATGTACTACGTCGGCACGGCAGCGGCGGCGCGGGGGGCGTAGCGCGGGCGTAGCGAGGGCGGGTTAGCTGCGGGCTGTGATGATTGACACGCCACCGAAGGTTCGTACTGGCGCTCTTGTATGGTTCCTGCGGTCGGCGGTGACTCCGGAGGGCAGCAACTTTGAGATGCCAAGGAGCGCACTGTGGCTGGAAGACGGCCGGAACACTCTTGCGGCGAAACGGGTCGCGAACGAAACGCGGAGAGATAGAGATGGGTATGTGGGTATTCGCGCGCGAGGCGACCGAGGTGTGTATTAATCCGTACAAGGCGATCCAACAAATCCACGAGAATCGGCACAACTAATGCCTACAATCCAGAATACACAGTGAGTCCACGCATACAACACGCACGTACCGGTGTCTACCTCCCCCAGAAGAGACACCGGATAGGCTGAGGAACTAGAAGGGAAGGACGACCAGCGCCACTAGACCTGAAACGAAGACGCTCCAAATAGAACCAATAGAACCGAGGGACGACGCGTCGTTTTCGGGGTTTGAAGCTTGCGAGCCTGTGGATGTGGACGTGCCGTTCGCGGACGAAAGCGAGGAGTTTCCCATGATCTGAGAGAAGATCTGGAAGGCCGCCTGGCCCACCCCGAGCGTCCCGTGGGTGTACGAGGGAACTTCGTGGCCCCTGAGAGGTGCATGCCGCAGCACGTGCATGAGATGAGAAGAGAAGGCGGATAGAAGGAGAGATCGTGTCAGCATCCGTTGCTCCGCTTCGTGCGGGTATTTGATGAAAAAGCCCTGGAAGGTACTCACGCGCCGTAAACTCGGACATAGGAAAAGGTGCCAGCGTTCTTGTAGATACCAGCGACCTGACCCGCTATCGAGTAGTTGGTGAACTCCTGTTTGGAGAACTCGTCCGTGAAGTTCGTCTGCAGTGCGTCGACCTACGGACCGGAAGCATTAGCGAGGGACCGCAGCAACGCACAGCCAAACGCACCATTGCTTCCACGCCCATGTAGTTACAAATGTAGTCCTGTCGGCGGCGTGATAAGCGGTTGCTCGGAAACGAGAAAACAAGTCTGCACTGACCACATCGCCATCGTAGATGACCGTCCGTACACCTGCATCGATGACTTTCTCCAGCAGAGGGCGCGAGCTGCGCATCCAGTCACCGGTGTCCGCGAAGTTGAAGTACACGTCGTCACTGCTCATCTCCCAAGACGACTGGGCACCGATCTTCGCCTTAACCGTAGCATTGTTGAGGAACCCGTCGATCTCTGGGGGGTATGCATCCGGCACAAGGCTGTTGACGAAGTACGGGTCGTACGGGCCGAGAACGGGTCCCAGGATCTCGTTGTTACAGAAGCCTTGAGCCTCAGAGCAGACCGTGTTCGTCTTGTTGCCGCTGTTGCAATCGGTGATCTACATCTCGAGTATTCAGGTGGGGAAAGCTTCAGAAGATGTTTTCGGGCTCACGAGGTCTTTACAGCCACCGGTGCGGTTCCATGCATTGGTGGCTGCTTGGATCGTGTCATCAGGTACCAGAGGATGGTATCTGTGCTGCGTGCTCAGTCATAGTTGGGACTCAGCGGCTGCGCGGATGCACTCACGGGTTCGAAGCTGCGTAAGAGATGTACCCCGGATACTGGATCAACGGGTCCTGTTCCAGCAAGCACAAATTGTCAGACTGCGGTCCCACCGGGGAGCCGCGGGAGGTCGGCGGATATTGTTCATGACTAACCGATAGCCCATTGCCGATACCAAGGAATTTCAGGTTGATGGGGGAGCCTTTCACGGACCCGTTGGCGATGGCCGCATTTTGGTCAAGAATGTGCCTAATTGCGATCGGGCAGTCAGCGCGGCAGCGGCGACCAAAATCAATCTGATGATACTCACGATGCGGTTATAGGACCATAATGGCCTCCATAACTAGGCGGGGTCAGAGAGGCTGTGCCGGCGAATGATCATCAGCACGAGGCGATGCTCACCTTTCCGTCCACAGGGCAAAGTCGTTGTCGGCGTATTTAGAGAACTTGGCGTCTGCGAAGAATATTTGCAGGAACTGATCATGGTTATGTTGCTCATGAATCACGTTGGCACGAGGTGGACAGATTTGTATGCTCACCGCCCATATGCCAGCGGCGGCTTCTTGGGACGTGCCCACCGTGGTCTCACCATAGGAATAGCCCGTTCCGACGGGTTGATCGAGGTAGAGCCTACGGAAAAAGAGCGGACACGGTCAGCATCGGCGGGGCTTCTGATCCGGACTCCGGAGCCGGCGGCAGAGGGTTACGTGGCGGGGCTCACATGTTCGAGACATTGTTCCAAGAGTACGGGTTGAGAGCAACGCCAGAACTGTCGTTGGTGATCCTGCAGGGTCCGTTCTCCTGGAGAAGGCCTATCATGGATGAGCTCCCAGGCTAAGATAGCGGAGACACTCAGTGGGCAGATCGCGTGAGAGGTCTGGAAGTAGAAAACGTACTCCACCGTTGAGCCATATCGTCAGAGGAGCCGTGTCAGGGTCCTCGCGAGCGGCAAAGAACCAAAACCTATTTCAAGGCGGGAAAGAAGATGACAAAAACAATCAAGAAGACACCATGGGTCGGAAGGTTGAAAGGACACGAGAACGTAAGAGCGATTAGGTGACGTTAGAAGTGAGATGGAGAGGGTGCTAACCAAAGACTCTGGTTGGCGGTCAGATCGCCATAGCCCGAGGCCTGGTAGACACCGGGAGCGGTCTCGCACACGCCGCTGTTCTCGACGACGCCGCGCAGCTGGCCGGGGGTGGTGGGTGTGGACGCCGAGTCGCCGGTAGCGGCCAGAATGGCCGGAGTAGATTTGGAGCGCGTGAAGGCCGTAGGAACGCCTCCAATCACGCCGTCGATGTCAGGCACCTGGCCTGCCCCGCGCACCTGAACAAGGGCAGGGAGCAGGGCAAGGGCCGTTGCGAGGCGCATGGACGGAAGAAAGTACATATATGCGTGCAAAAAACGAGAGAGAGAACGCGTAGTGCGTTGTAGGATGTCGTGGCCGCGCTCTGGGGCCGCTGGGCCGCTGGGATGAGTGGGGGGAGGCGGGGGAGGCTGAGAGAATCGTGAGGGAGAGAGTAAACCTAGTTTGCCGGCGCTTGCCGCGTGGCAGCGCTATGCCCCCGATCTGTTGCGGACGATCTTTTGTCGCGCGCCCGCTCGCCGCTTGCGATCGCGAGTCGTTGAGCAGCTTCTGTGGCCTCTGCTCTCTTTCCCTCCGCCTCGTATGGTCACGTTGCCGGAGCCCAACATGTGCGAGGTCTGAAGCTGAAGGTCAGGGCAACGGTGAGCACTCTCGTCCCGCGGTGCCTGCTCATCCGAGACATCAGAAGCCCGCCAAGAGGCCCCGCTCTCGCTTCCGCTTGTCCCGCCGTGACTCGCCCGGGCGCCCATCGCGAGCCTCTCTTCCGCCTACTCCTGACGTCACTTACGCGAGCTGATGCTACCGACTGCATGAGTCGCCCCCCGCCTCGACACAGAAGCCCCGCCAACTGAGCTCGCGAGCTCGCTCGCGCCCCCCGGCCCCCGCGCACGCACCGCCGCGCTTCTAAACCCGCGCGGGGCGGATCGACCCACGTCCCAGCGGCGGTCACGCGCAAGGGCACGCCCGCCCTGCACGGCCACCGCGTTCGCCCCCGCGCGCCTGCTTCTCCTCGCTCGCGGCGTGCCTTGGAGCCCGCGGAGCCCCATCGTAGGCGCAGAGTCGCACGCCGCGCCGTCGCCCCGCACGCGCCTGGTGTCCGAACTTGCCCAATTGTGCAACAGTCTCGTACGGCCCCCGTCTCACGTCCTGGTCGCCGGGCGCGCCGCCATCCACAACCGAGTCTCGCCGCGGCTCCGGTCGAAGTGGTGTCTGGTGGCTGCAATGTGCATCGATGCGGCGTGCTATGTAAGCGGCGCACCCCGGCAGCAATTGGCCATCCTCTGTAACCAGTCCCTGCCGGACGCAGTCAGTCCGGGACATTCGGCGAGCCTCGACGTGTTCCGGAAACGGCTCGCCGCGGCCGCTCCGAGGCCGCTCGGACGAGCCCCCGACTCTGGCGAGCGAACTATGTGTTCCGAGAACATACGGGGCGAGGGTTCCGTGCCCGTTGCCACCGCACGCCCAACGCGGCCGTTGGTTCGGCGCGCGGTTCCCCGAGGCCCCACACCACTCCCAGGCTTGACGAGAGCGCGAGCGCACGAGTGGAGGGCCGCCTTACGCCGTCCGTGCCCTCCGCGGCAGCCTGTCTGGCACGGGCTGGTGGCATGGATACAGTTCGCGTTCCGTGCGCCCGAGCCGGGCTCGGGCTGCACCGAGGGTGACGTCTGGTGGGAGCCCGCGACGTTGCAGCGCGCCTAGCACTCAGCGCGCGAGGCGTCGTTCGCAATGCGCTGCCCCTGCCATGGCGACGCGCGCACAGAACAGTTCACACCGTGACGGGGCGGGGCGGGGCGGGGCAGGACGGGGCGGGGGTGCAGCGCACAGGGAGACCTGCGAAGTCGCAGCGAGCTACCGTGCCCGAGTTGCCTCCCCGGGCAGGATGGAACACGGGAGAAGAGGGCCGTGTTTGCCCACCCCCAGCATGTTGAGCCTCTCGGAAGGGCGTGAGCCTCTTCGAAGGGCGCAAGCGTGCTCGAAGGCGGCGTAGTGTACGTACCGCACGCGCGACGACGGGGAAGCCCCACTGTCCAATGTCCAAAATGAATATCACGCGCAGGCCCCTCCCAGCCGCGCGCCGTCCCCGTGGCCCGCTGACCGTCGCCCTCTGCCGCGCGCGATCGTAACGCAAACTGACAGAAGGCCAGAAGCCCGTCCGCGAAGCCCGTCGTCCGGGGCGAGGGTCGTGCCAGACTTGGGCACGGAGCACGTAAACGGTGAGAACGCGAGGTTGCGGGGACGCGCACTGGCCCGCTCGCCCTGCGGGCGCCTCCGGGCTTCCGCAAGAAGCAGACAATGGGCGATGGGCTTTGCACAAACGGGCGACATACGCGCGCGGACGCGCCAGCCGGGCGAGTGGGTGCAATGCTGGGCCCGTACGGATCCGAGGCGAGAGAACAGGGTTCGTGCGGTGCGGTGATTGTTGCGCGGGCCCTGAGCTTCTGGAATGATGAACAGGAGCAGGACGCCTCCAGCCCCCGGGCGAGCGGGGTCGTCCGTTGGGGGCCCGGGCACCCCGAAAGCGCGAAGGTTGCGACAGTGCCGGCCTATTGGCCCACGACGGGAACGGCCGGGGCCTATGGATCGCGAGAACAGCGATTTTTGCGAGACGTGGACCGTCACGCACCGGTGGGGTGGGATTCGTGATGCGTAACAGCAATCACAACCTTCTGTCTTCTGCCGACGTGGCCAGGCGCGCGAGGCGCCGACGTCTGGAGATCGGGTCAATGCGTCAGGGCTCTGGCAGCGGCGGGGAGGCCGAAGCTCGAGGCTGCAGCCAGAGAAGAGAACCACCCGCCCGCGGAGGTCCCAGCCATCGTACATATACCGACGTGCTTAACTGCGCGCTGCGCTCAGGGCGGCGCCGAGCGTGCTTGGTCCGCAGACGAACGCAGGCAGGGCGTGCTGCCGCGAGAGCTCGCTTGCGCGAGCGAGCGCGACTAGTAGATTGCCGGCACCTCCTGCCTGATTAGGGAACGCCCGACGCCCTGAGTCGGGAAGCTGAACGAGGGTTATTGCAGCCATTGCTGCGAGCTCCGCATCACCTCCGGCATTGGAGACACGAAAAGATGAGATCTGCCGAGAGGAAGGTACCAAGAGCGACGCTAGAAGGCTGGCAAAAATGATGCGTCTTTGGGCCACTTTGCTGTGATGTGTAACGCGAATGAGCCGAGGTTGCTGCTGAGTAATTTGACAGATGGCGACCGGGCCAGTATCTGGATATCCCTCCTCACCGCGAAAGCGGCGGTCAGCTCAGTGCAGGATTCGCGTCGGAGGCTATCCATGGCTCGCGTGATCGAAGGAGGCGCCCCGAGGGAAGCACAGTCGACCGCAGGGACAGGCGCAGCAGCAGACACATGTTGTGTAGCCGTCTTCTGAATTCGATGGATGGCTTCCCGGAGCGAGGGCGAGTTGGTCCGGAATGAATACCATTGGCTAGGCGGTGCGGGCCTTGGGCCTCCTATGGTGAAGACAGAAGGGGCCGAACGTGGGCCGGAGCAAGGAGCGTTGTACGTGACGCAGCCGGATCTAGGCCAGGCCGGGGCAGCATGGGTTTGAAACGAGAAGCTTTGGGCGCATACGGACAGCGAGGAGAGAAGGCGAGGGTACCGTGGCCGAACAGAATGGGGCGAATGGAGCAGGGGCGATTGAGGGAGATTCCGATCAGTCGCGGACACTTGGGAAAGCGTTGCGTAAAGGTGGCCGAAATAGGACGCCGTGGCGAAGGGATATCCAGGCCGCCGGTAAATTCTGGTATGGAGCGTAACAATCACAATTTGGGCCAAAGCGGTCGGGAAGAGCACCAAGAACTCGGTCTGAAGGAGTGTCCAGGAGGCTGTGCCGTCGAGGAGGGCGTGGGTGGGTGATAGAACGCGGATGCAGTTTGGCAGAGAAGCTGATTGCTGTGATTCACGGGCACTCGTCGTCTGAGCTGCATTGACCGTCGCGGGGTGCGTCTGGGCGCGCTGCAGGGGCGCAGGGGCGCAGGGGCTGCAGCGAGCCGGGTGGGTTGGTGGGCTTCCGGAGCGGCGAAGCCGAGACAAAGAGGCCGCAGAGTGCGTCATCGCTGGGTTGGGCGTACAAAGCGCAACGTGCGTTCGCTGGGCGGTTGGCGCGAAGGAGGATAAGGGGAGATTAAAGCGATGGAATCAGCCGAACCAGTGTGGGTCGTGGGGGGGCCATTGGGGGGATGCTGCATTGACCCGGAGCCCAGAACGGCAGGAGGCCGGTTGGCGCTCGGCGCGGCGGCACAGCCCCGGGAGAGACGGCGTGAGAAAGAGTTTGGTGAGCGGACCCTCCCTCGCTCCGCAGCTCCCTGCCTTTTCTCCACCACCACCTCGCCTCTGCCATTCCCTCACCTCCTCCTTCCCTCCTTCATATACCGTCCCCGCAGCTATATACATCCCCCTCATCCTGCCATGAACGACCCAACTTTCTCCCAGTTCTACCCCCAGTCCCAGTCCTTCGAGCCTCAGACCTATCATAAGCTCGACAACCCCCCCGCTACCATCTCCCTCGACGGCAACGAGAACCAGAAGCAATCCTTCGACTTCTTCTCCTACACCCAGGGCGGCATCGACGTCGTAGCCCCTCACCCGGACCAGTTCGAACTCGAACTCGACAACTCCCTTGCGGCCTTCGACGCGGAGTTGAGCCTTCTCCCCGTCGACACAGCCGACTTCTCCTTCTATCGCTCCACCACCCCGACCTTCGGTCCGCCGTCGACCTTCACCGTCTCGTCTGAGTCGGTGTCGGGTTATGATTCTGTCTACAACGACAGTATCTCCAGTCGTTCTGAAAGCTACTATAACTTCAACCCCAACGCCCAGGGCAAGTCTCCCACGTCCAACTACGCTCCTAGCGTCTACTCCCTCACCCAAGAGCAACTCGACATGGAGTTCCAGCGCATGGCCATGCCCGCCGGCGAAGATCCCAACTCCTTCGGGGCCCTCCCTAACTCGTCCTCCGTTCGCTCGTCGCCGAACAGCGTCCCCAACATATCCCAGTACTCTCCCGCCTTCTCTTCCCCTCGCGGGTCCTTCTCGGACTACGAGCCCACCCAACCGCAGCAAGTCCGTCTCGGCTCCTCCGCCTCGTCTGACTACTACCCGTCGGCGCAGGTGCAGATCAACAAGTACGCGAACATGCCCGGCCGTATCGTTCAGCACCCCCGCTCCACCGCCAGCGTCTCCCCTCAGCTGTCGGCCATGTCCCACCCCTCCGGCATCTCGCACCCGTCGCTCGCCGCTCAGCGTGCCAAGATGGAGGCCTTGCACGATGACCCGAAGCGCAAGTACCAGTGCCCGACGTGCCCTCGTGGTAAGTAGCCGAGTGCGGTATGGTTGAAGCAAGGTCATTGACTCGGGTTGTCACAGCGTTTGCCCGCGCGTACAATCTCAAGACGCACATCCAGACGCACGACCCCAACCGGCTCAAGCCTTACTCCTGCCTCCACAAATCGTGCGGCAGGTCGTTCAGCCGCAAGCACGATCTCACCCGTCATATGGTCTCGATCCATCGCGCCGAGTCCGTGACGTCGCTCTCGGCCAACACGCGCCCCATCGGCATCGAGGGTGGCCACCGGGAGTGGTGCGACTCGTGCGGTCGTAGCTGGATCGACGACGGCAAGGACAAGGGTTGCGACTGCAACGACATCAAGTAGATGAAGGACTGCACTGTTGTCTTCCGCTTTCCCTGGTTTGCGTACGTTACAGTTTTACTATAAGTACCCTTAGACTGGTTTGCTTATTGTTACCCTACCATACAGCGATGGCAACACTCACGTCCGTCTGAGCGGTGTTGAGTCCGTCTTGGTCGGTGCCCTGCTGACCGTTGGTATGCTCACGCCGTGACGACGATGATGTCCGATGCTGTTGTGTCTCTGTTGACGGGTTATCTTTGCTGTCATTTACTCGTTGGCAGGCATACGCGCTTGGAACATCCCCCAGCTGTGTTCGAGGCTCGCGGTAGGAGTCGTGACTGCAGTTACTATATGCTCATCATCTCTCGTGCGATCGTCATCCCGTTCTCTCGTACCAGTATCCTCGTATCGTGATCTATGCCCATTCGTTCTCGTAATCTCGTATATATTGCAGTTGTCCGTATAAATACAGTGTCTGATACATGGATGTCGTTGTGTTTGAAGTATGCGCTCTATGTAAAAGTTGTTTGTCCACCGTCCTCTGAATGGCGTGCGTAGACGATAGAGCCGTTTGAAACCGCTGTTGGGCTATCTGGCCGGGGGCTAGGGTCAGGGCCGCCGTCCGCAGCTAGATAATGAAGTCGTTCGATCCGCTGGTCAGCGCAGGGAGTTGTAGGTCCATGTTGGAGTCGAGCAGGACGCGCAGGTGGGTGCGCAGCCCTCGTGGTGGCAGCGGCGCAGCGGGCTACGTGCACGTTGCGCAGCGGTCCACGCGGTCGCACTCGTTTGACTCGACCACCATTGCAGCCACCAGCCCACCTGCCAGACCCCAGACCCCGTCCCGCTCTCCTCTCCTCCCTTTCCCGGCCGTCCGCAGACAGGCGGGGCTCGCGTTCACATTCAAAGTCCGGATCTGAAACCGGAGGGGAGCCCGTGCCGGTGAGTCAGCCGGCCTGCGTACGCTCTCGGCGCTGAGCAACCTCTCGGACCTCTCCGCGCGCTCAACGCACACGACCTCCTCGTGATGGATCGCGATCCCCTGCAGCGACCACGGAACCGCAATGGCACGAGCTAGTACCATCGCAATTAGAGGACCGCCCAGGACCGCCCCGCGCGCCACGACCGCACGTCTCAAGATCTCACGAGCGGGCTTCCTGCAGTCTCAGAGGCGGGCCTTCCCTCGTCCGGTGCGCACATTGCATCCGGGCCCTCGCGAGGGATCTGCAAGTCCCCGGGCGCGGCTGCGGCTATGCGTATGCATACGCGGTCGGCCGCCCGGTCGTTCGTTCGGTCACGCCACAGGTGGGTCCTCGCTCGCATAAGGAGAGTGACGAGGCGCGCCGTCGCGTCCGGCGCGTGCGGCTCGTCGGCGGGCGTGCACTACGTCAGCCTCTGCCACGATCGCCCCAGGCGTCCCGTAAGCACGCTAAAGTATCGGCACGCGAGCACGCCGAGGACGCGAAGCGTCGAGAGAAAAGGGGGAGAGACATCGGCGATCGAGCCCGCGCCCGGTGATCGCAGCACGCTCGTCCTCCTGGAGGGCCGGAGGGGAGGGAGGAGGCTGGACTGCGTCCGCATCCGAGTCCGCGCGCCACGGAGGTCTGCAGACCACGGGGGGGTGGGCGATCCCACAGGGCAGCGCCACCTCCAGAACGTCGTTCGTCGCGGCTGCGGGAGGGCTTTCTCCGGGCGCGCCCTCAGCCGTGCCATCGCCGCGTACAGTCACACTTCAGCGCGGAGGATGCAGTTGCGAGTCCATTGCATCGTGGAGCTCTATTGTGCCCTCGTCCTCCGGCCCCGGCTCGCCGCCTGTATCGCGGAGGCGCGGCGGCGACGGACGTCAGCGACGAGCGCGTCGGCGACCTTTCATCGAACCGCGCTCGACAGCGGGCGGCGGCGGGGCGCGCCTCGAGGCTCGACGTACCCTCGCACCCGCCACACTGCGGACGCGAGCACGATACTGGGATTCTCTGCGATCAGTCCCGACTCCCAAGGCGCTCTCCCGGGCCGAGGCGCCGCCCTCTGTCCGGGTCGTCCCAGCATGCGCTGCGGGGGTGTACATGTGGGTGTGTGCGCCGAGGGGCCTGCGGCGGGCCTAACGGCGTGGGTCCCGCGCTGCGCACGTCGCGCGGGTGCGCTGGCGAAGGCGGCGGCGGCGGCGGGCGTGGGTCCACCCGCCACGCTGCTGTGCTGCGCACGGCTGCGCCTGCCCGCCCCCACCGGGCTTCCTAACCATCACGCGTCCACGCAGCACAGCCTGAAGGCTGCCGTTTGGCGGGGAGGGGACGGGAGGGGGCTGACTCGAGCGGTGGCGCGCTCTAGCCGCAGCGGGCTCCTTCGCGCCCTTCCTGCGTTCTGCGTTCCTGCTCGTCGGCTGCCGCAGCGCACCAATTCAAGTGCGTCTCCGGCAAGCCGTTGCTGCCGAGGCCACGTCAGTCCCGTTGTCTGGAGGCCCTGTCGGATGCTGTGCATCACGCTTCCGTCGAGGTGGAGGGCTCGGGCCGAGGTGGGTGGCCAGCGAGCTCGATGATGAAACCGCACCCATGATGGACGAATGCATTGACCCCCGCCCTGCCTCAGATCCTCGACCGCACCCGCACGCTAGTCCGAGTGGGTCGACATTGGACGACGTTTCCGACCACCACGCTCGATCCGACCGCCTCTCCTTACCGCGGCACCGCGTCGGAGGCTCCCTGTCCCGCCGGATCTTCGCTCGGCGTGTGGTCAGTCGATCTAACCGATAGGTGAGGCGAGCGATACTGCAGTTTCTGCGCAGGATTTTGCGCAGACGACGCGCTTCGGACGCTGCGGTCCTGCGGATCGACCGCTGTGATGCCTCGTCTGCGCAGGCTTCCAATGCGTAGTTTGAGGTGGGTCGCCCAGTTCTGCTCCACACCACTGCTTCGGATTGACGGCTCGGGCATCATCGAGATCGACGATGCTGCGAGCTATGCAGGTGGTACGCAACGGACGATGCATTCGACCCCGGTCGTGCGCGTGAAGGCTCAGATGAACCAGCGTCCTCGGCTCCCCCCGGGATCCGACCGCACGACCGCACGGGGTCATCGTGCGCGCGCGTGGGGGTTCTCGGGTGGTGCAGCCCACGCCCGAGGGCTCACCGACGCCGTCATCGACGACGATGAGCCATCCAGCGAACGCGGGGCCATCGCCGCTCGGGCGTCAGAGTGACTCTGCTATGACGTCGGTGCCCCGCTGCTGTGTTCTTGCCGGCCTATAAGTCGGGAGACGCTTCGTGGCACGACGACGACAATAGCTCAACGAACACGACGACGACGAACAATCATCAAGCGACACGGGATGTCAGCCGCAATCGGAGCCGTCAAGGAAGCATTTTCGTCCGTGACCGGATACAATGCAAAGAGTGCCGACCTGGCCAAGGCGACGGTGGACGTGAGCACGGCGCCGACGAAGGGTATTACGACCGACACCGGCGTCTTCGTCCCCGACACAGACAACTGGTGCGTCGCGTGCATGATAAGATGGCCGCCAGCCTGCGCACCCTGCGACAGCTAACGTACGCTATCACTTCCGCAGGCTGCGCGCGACCGACGGTGCGCGCCCAGGCGCGAGCCTCCTCGAGGACCAGGCAAGTGGCCTTTAGGCGCCCCGTCGAGTCACCCCCTGCACGGCCCCGCTGACACGTCAGTCCGCCAGGTGGGCCGCGAGAAGATTATGCGCTTCGACCACGAGCGGATTCCCGAGGTGCGTAATCTCCGCCCGCCCTCGGACTGATTTTGATTGGGGCTCAAACCTTGCTCGTCCGCCCAGCGCGTGGTCCATGCTCGTGGGGCCGGCGCCCATGGGTATTTCAAGGTGCGCCCGTTGCCCCCTCTCACGGCAGATGTCCCAAACGAATAGCCTCGGGTTATCTCGCTTGCCCTGCACAGGTTTTCGACGATAGGGCGGCCAAGTACACCCATGCGCCCGTCCTAACCGACCCGTCGCGGGTCACGCCCACGTTCGTGCGCTTCAGCACCGTTCAGGGTTCGCGGGGTAGTGCGGTGCGTCGACGTTTTCCTCCGTTTCTGCACGGACCGCGAGCTATGGCTCGGGCATTTTCAGGACACCGTCCGCGACGGGCGCGGGTTCGCGGTCGAGTTTTACACCGAAGAAGGCAACTGGGACGTCGTCGGGAACGACATCCCCGTCTTCTTCATTCAAGAAGCTATCAAGTTCCCAGACATCATTCACGCCGTGAAACCTGAGCCGCACAAAGAGGTCCCGACCGGGCACTGGTCGGCGCACAACACCTTTTGGGACTTCGTTGGCCTCCAACCCGAGTGTACGGGCCGCACCTCACTGCCTCGGGCGACGCTCGCTCACGACATGCCGCTTTCCAGCCGCACATATAGTTATGTGGTCTTATCGAATGATGCAAGGCTTCGGGGTGAACACCTGTACGTCCATCCTATCTGTGTTGCTACGTCCCTGACGCCCGCTGCCAGACACGCTGCTCAATGCAAACAAGGAGCGGTTCTTTGTCAAGTTCCATTTTATCCCGGAGCTCGGAGTCCATAGTCTAATGTGGGACGAGGCTCTCAAGATCGCTGGTCAAGATCCAGGTGCGCGCACGTTTCACACAGCCCTCGCCGTCCCTATGACTCACATTGCTTCCACCGCAAGGATCTCGAGGAGGCGATAACGAGCGGCGCGTATGCGAAGTGGCAGTTTGGCATCCAGGTGATTCCAGAAGCGAAGGAGAACGACTTTGACTTCGACATCCTGGACGCCACCAAAGTCTGGCCGGAGGAGCTGTGCCCGTTGAGCCCATCGGCGAGCTCGTGCTCAACCGCACCGTCGACGAGTACTTCGCCGAGACGGAGCAGGTCGCGTTCTGCACCTCCCACGTCGTCCCTGGCATCGGCTTCAGCGACGACCCGCTCCTCCAGGGCCGTAACTTCTCGTACTTCGACACCCAGCTGTCCCGCCTCGGGATAAACTGGCAGGAGCTCCCCATCAACCGCCCGGTGTGCCCTGTGATGAACCACCACCGCGACGGTCAGCACCAGCAGAAGATCACGAAGGGCCCTAATTACTGGCCTAACAGCAAGGCAGCCGCGCCCCCAGTACCGGTGAAGGACGGAGGTTATGCCGAGTGAGCAACCGCCCGCTCGCCGAGTGCCTCTTCCTCACCTCCTTTCACAGATTTCCGCAAAAGTACCAGGGTATCAAGCAACGGGTCCGCAGCGCGAAGTTCCAGGAGCACTACAACCAGGCCCAGCTCTTCCACAACTCCCTCAGCCCCCCAGAGAAGGCGCACCTCGTCGCCGCCTTCTCCTTCGAGCTCTCCCACTGCGACGACCCGCAGGTGTACGACACGTGCTCGAGGCTGCTCACCACCGTCGACTTCGAGCTCGCCACGCAGGTCGCCCAGGCCGTCGGCGCGCCCGTCCCCTCCGCGCCCGCGCGGCCCAACCCCGGACGCTCCTCCGCGAAGCTCTCCCGCCCCCGCGCGCGCCGACGGTCAAGTCCCGCCGCGTCGCGATCCTCGTCGCCGACGGCTTCGACCGCGCGCACGTCGACGGCGTCCGCGCCGCGCTCACGGCCGGCTGGCGACCACGTGGGTCGTCGGGCCGCGCCGCGGGCGAGGACGGTTCGGGCGAGGGGTACCCCGCGGACCACCACTACGAGGGCCAGCGGAGCACACGGCGAACGGCCGTGCGGTGCACTGGGTGCGCGAGGCGTTCGGGCACTGCAAGCCGATCGGGGCGTTGGGGGAGGGTGAGTGCCTCTTGTTTCCTCGTTTGGTTTCCCCCCTTGCTCTTCTTCAGTGCCTATCCCACTCCCCATCCCTCCCAAGTCGCCGTCCATCTGTCACACCCGCTCTTGGGGTTGTCACTCTCGGGTCGGGTCCCGTTGATCCCACCTCGATGCCTCCTCCTCGACCCGTTCGGCTCACCCACATCCCTTCCCACTCACTGAACCACGGCTTCCCAGGCGTTGGCTTCCTACGCGATGCGGTGCAGCTCCCAGGCGTGAATTTTGCGCCGGACTTACAGTCCGAAGCGGTCACGAACTCGTACGGTGTCGTCACCGCGGGGAAGTATGGCCTCGGATCTGTGGCAGCTGACCTACTCTCCATCAAGCGTGGTGAGCAGGGCTTCTTGCTCAACTTCGCGTACGAGGTCAGCCAGCATCGGTGCTTCGCTCGGGAGACGGACGGGCTTACTGCGAAGGTGGCATACTGAATTTCGGATGTGCGTGATCGGATGAGAAGTGTAGCAATACATCGTTTTGTATTTTTGCATGCCCTTTTCGAGCTTGTGGCTGTTGAGAACCCTTCCAAGTCCCGTACTGGGAGTCAACTAGTCACCTGCGACCACACAGCGTGAATAAAAACGATTCTCATATTCCTCTAGCCCACCGCGAGGGTCGAACTCGCAGCCTTCAGATCACCCGCCTAAGTAAGAGTCTGACGCTCTATCCGATTGAGCTAGGCGGGCATTACGCTAATTATTTTATAATGTACTTGCCTGGCTCCGCATTGATTCGCCTAGTCACCACTGACACCTAGGCTGTACGACACCCACTCCGCCACACACTTAAAGCTTCAAGCCTCACACCACTCGAGGATGGCACATGTGGCAGTAGAGGTCGACCCGGTCATCCTGGCGCAAGAAGAGGAGCGCCTGCGCAAGGCGCACCCCACGCCGGACGACGTCCCGTCGTGCACGAAGCTCATGGACGATTTTCTCCTCTGTCACGGTCAGTCCTGTCCTGCTGGCGTGGTTCGGGGCGGAAGCGAGCTGACCGACACGACGCGCAGCGCTGGGCTCCCAGGTCCGGTCGCTGTACCGGTACGGGTCGACGTCGAAGTGCTCGAACAAGTGGGAGGACTTCAAGTTCTGCATGAGCCTCAAGAGCCTGCACCCCGAGGAGAAGCGCGACGTGTGGATTCGCCGCCGCGCCGAGTGGTGGGCCCTGCGTCGCCAGGTGAAGAGCAGCGAGGACGTGTGGGAAGTGCGGACGTGGGTGGAACGCTCTCTCCGCGCATCTGTGCCGGGCTTCGTGGCTGACGTTGGTTTGTTTGCAGGGAGCCGCTGGAGAACTTCCCGGCGCGTACCATAGATCCTAGCATCATCGTAGAGAACTGCGGACGGTCGAGTAGACTCCGCGCTGCGTTCGTTCGACGTCGTCTGCACCTGATTGTGGAAGTGCAGAACGCTTTACGGCTAGATACACTCTACTCACCCGATCCTAGTGCATGATATTACAGCCTGCATGCTAATAATACAACTACGTGGCACAGCGTGCAGACAAAGCAAGATGACAACATGACTCAAACACTAATATGAGGTACGCAAAAACACGCTAGACACCGACACTAAGGGTACAGGTTTAGTTCAACGAACGAAGAACCATCGAAACGAGACACTCACCGATGCACAACCTTCTTCTGCCCGGAGAATCGAATAATCTCTCGCTTCTCCATGATGAACAGTGTCCGTTCCAGTGCGTGGCTCGAGTACCCTTGCTGCGTGACGAACTCCCGGACTAAACTCTGGTAGCTTGTACTCCATCCGATAGGTAGTCGTTGCCTGATTTCTTTCTCAATCTTGATCATCTCTTCGTTCAGAGCACCGCGCGAGAGCCCGTCTGCAGCGCCTGCAGACACAGCATCCATGGTGGAGAACTTGAACAGTCGAATAGCCTCTTCTACGTGGTGATTCTGGACTCCCGGCGAGAGCGTGAGTTTCGCGAGGGATTCGGAAATGCGGATGATAGCCTCGAGTTGACTGCGTGTCGTATCATTAGCCAATAAACACATCCCGACGAGTTAAGTTCGTACCGGACTGTAATGGGGATGGAACTCCGTTCGTCGTTGTCCTGCTCGACCTGCTGCACCTGTTTCCGCAATGAGACAAAGTGGCTGCTAAGCATGTCCTGTGCCTCCGCAGAGAGCCGAGGAGCGCATTTTCTGTAAGGGCATTAGCACCACGTTTATAGCTCCGGGAAGAAACTCCTTACGCTTTACAGAAAGCAATGAAACGCTTCATTTTCTCGAGATCGATCTCACCCACAACCTCCTCGTTCTGGTTGGGGCGGTTCATGTGGATGTTCATGACATGCTTGGCAATCATCTGGGGTTGCATTGGCATGACTGTCTCGAATTGACGAGGAATAGGTGACATACCTGGTCTCGTGCCTCGTTGTGTTCATCCTTCACGATAAAGATCATGTCAAACCGAGACAGAATGGTGGTTTGGAAGTCGATGTTCTGATGGGCGAAAATAGCATGAATGTCCGCCACCATATTCGCACACCATCACGTACCTCGCCAGGGCTGCGGCCCTCGTCGTAACGACCCCACACGGGGTTTGCCGCTGCGAGTACGCTTGTCCGAGAGTTCAGCACCGTCGTAATACCAGCCTTGGCAATCGAGATGGTCTGCTGCTCCATCGCTTCATGGATGGCGACACGGTCTTCATCACGCATCTTGTCGAACTCGTCGATGCAGACGACACCGGTATCGGCCAGAACCATCGCACCGCCTTCAAGGTAGAACTCCCGCTGCCAAGAACGTAAGCTACGGGGAAATGAGGTCAAACGTTGTTGCGACGAACCGAAACAGCGTCCCGTTGCACTGATGCCGTTAGACCGGCAGCACTGGAACCTTTTCCAGAGGTGTAAACTGCTATAGGAGCAACCTGTGATCCTGTCAGCACACGTTCACTGATTGAAGAAGTATCCCACTTTACTTTCTCAACGAACTTTAGCAGCTGACTCTTCGCAGTACCCGGATCACCCAGAAGTAGCACGTTGATATCTCCTCTCAGTCGCATCCCGTCTGGTAAGATTTTCTTGGAGCCTCCCATAAGAAGACATGTTATCGCTTTCTTGATGTCTAGGGGGAGTCAGCGGTCGCATTGGAAATGCGCAATTGGACGTTTACCTAGGCTACCAAAGATACTGGGCGCGACACTCTTCGCGAACCGTTCATAGAAGCCTTCGCTACGAGCCATCTCACCGAACTCCTCTTCCTCCTCTGGCGTGTACTGTGTACCAAATGGGTTCGCGCCACCCGAACCACCTGAAGCCGGAGACGACACTTCGAGGTGGACGACGCGCAGATAGGGATCACGAAGAGCCGCAGCACCTTTTGAACGCTATGAGCAGGTTAGTGATGTTTTTTAGCTCCCGGGAGCATTAAGACTCACGTTTTTCGCAGATTGGAAAGTAGAGTAAATGCCAGTTGCGATGACTCGAGAGCCAGGAACAACCTGATTTGTGAGGTAACGATCCGCAGACAGTAGCATATGTCTTGGCAGCTCTCCGACGGGCACCATATCAGGAGCTTCTTGCAGTTTGAGCATTTGGTGATCAGTAAAGGATGACTTCGAGTGGATAATGAGATATGGGTCGAGGGGGCAATCCTTCTCCTGGTTTTCAAGAGATGGCGCATCGCAGGTTCTCGGAAGGCCACGCTCTGAACCTCCTCCCAAGCCACCTAAACCACCGGGCGGAGTGATGATTTTCGGGGTTCGGCATGCACGACACTGGAGGTGCAGCTTCGTCGCGCGGGAAGAGAGCACAGACGCAGAGATGACGATACCGGGAATACGAACAAGCTTGTTCATGGTGTTGGCGGTCAAATCTCGAAACGGTTGCATGTTCAACCCGGACTTGATAAGGACTTGCACGTTGGGGATCGACTGTTGTGCGTTTTCGGAGTTGCTCGCCAGAGGGAACAAGATAGACCGAGCGGCCCTGGCTGCCGCATTCTCAAACTGAACGTGTCTGAGTATGAAGGTTTTCGTGGGCTCGAAAAGACGCACCAAGGGAAGTATCTCTCCTGGCTGCTCCTGAATAGCGTGTGCCATTTCGTCGTTATACAGACCGACATGTCTGAGATCCACCTCTATTTGATGCTGTTTCAACAGAAGATTCGCGCGCAGTTTGTCGCTAGAGTACGATCTCGTTAAAATGCATATATTAATTTAAACAGGAGCACTAACCGGTATATGAAGTCATTGCCTACGCGGTACTGCAGGAGGAACTCGAGGAGGGTCTTCTCGACCTTCGAGCGAAGCTCGAGGGTGTTGCCGTCTGGCTCCCTCTCATTGCTAGTCCGTACGGAATAGGTTCGGGATGCCTCATAACCCGACATAGTGGAGGGAGAACGAACGAGAGGAAGGACGCGTCGTAGAGAGAGCGGGAGGACCAGGTCCACAGAGACGCGACTCGACGCGCCGGCGACAAATGAGGTTCAGGGCAGGCCCGTTCGCGTCTGTGGCAAGACAGACTGCACGTGTCGTCATCTGCCCCCTACTCGAGCGCCTTGTCCGTTCTCTCCTTGTCTTCGGTTCTGTGGCGGCACCCTTACTCACACACTCTCAACCATGTCCGCGATGGAAACCGACGAGCTGCCTGTGGTGCTGCCATCCAGCACCACCTCTGGTCTGTCTTTGGCCCTGTGTGTGAAGCTCTCGAGACATCTATGCTCAGCCGCTGACGCGTAATCTTCAGCCACCCTCTTCCTATCCTCAACATCTCTGAGCATCTCACTCGGATGAGGTTGCAAACGAGATCAAGTCTGCCATTTGGTGTGTTCTTTACCTACTTGGAAAGGCCTCTCTTCCTGATCACCGATCTTGTAGTGCTGGGGGCACTCCTAGGAACCCAGAATGGACGAGAGGTTGAGATTGTGAACAGCTTCGAGCTTGCTGTTGAGAACGACGGTGAAAGTGTAAACCAGGCGTTCTTGGTGACCCGAAAGGAACTCTGTAAGTTGTCTCCGGCTTAGTTGGGCACATCCCTGTTCATTGCCCCCTGGAACTAGACAAGCAAGTATTCCCTTCTCTCGAGTTCATTGGGTGGTACACTGTGGCGGAGCGGCCCACAGCGAAACACATAGCTCTGCATGACCAGGTTCGTTTTCTCTTTGCTCTATGCTGCCTCACAATTAAATTTCCGTCTAGTTCATCGTATATTCATCCACGCCGCTACTCTTGGTTATGCAACCCTCCACCCTCTTCACATCAGGTACTGAGATTGGGGGCCAATCTCTCCCTCTCAAAGCGTACGAGCCTACTATCGAGATTCGCGATCGCAAATCGCGTTCGGTGTTCATTGAAGCATCGTTCTCCGTGGAAACCGGCGAAGCCGAGCGTATCGCAGTCGACTGGACGGCGAAAGGTGGAGAAGGCGGCACGAGTCGTCAGTAGTTTTCTCCTCCAGGCAGTGCACGATGCTCAAGCGACTCGTCTAGTCGAAGGTCATCTTCAAACCCAACGCGCAGCAGTCAAGATGCTTCACGACCGCATCTTGCTCCTTGTCAAGTATGTGTCGGAAGCCATCGCAGGTAAGCGTCGTATAAGTTCTTAGTCTGCAGTGGTATGAATCATATAGCATACTGTCCAGGGTCCGCGAAGAAGGATCATGCAACGCTGCGTGCTCTCTCTGCACTCATCGCGTCCTTACCTGCAAGCGAGAACCGTGGTTTCAGAGAGGAGTTTGACACAGAGTATGAGGACGTGCAGCTTACGGCGTACCTCGCGTCACTTACGAAATCGTCCAACATCCTCAATGAAGTACGTTATATCTCCCTAACCCATAACGCGGTGCTGACCTTGCTGTATAGCTTGTCGACAGACACCTCATTTTGACCAGCCCACGGGAGGAACGTGGCGGCGGCGGCGGCAGCGGTCCGAGACGACGAGGCTTGATGGGGCGACAAGGAGACTTCGACCGTTTCCACATGTAGGGGGGTTCTTTTGTGCTGTTGCGATCCGCAGGATTGGTGTTTTCCCAACCTCACTTCGGTGGGTTGTGCACTCGTCGTTTGCCCTCAATGTATTCTGCTGTGTACCATTACCGTTGTTCCCATGTATTCTCATGTTCTATGCAGCCGGACAATGACCGGCGAGTCTAGGACGGTCTAGACTATGGTCGGCGTGGGGCAGATACGGCTTTCTGCCGTGTCGTACTGATTTGTCCGCCGCTGAACATACTTCCGTAGGTCGTTTCGACATGTCATCGTACGGGGCGTAAGAACGACTGACTACATACGAGGGGACATGGTCGAGGGCAGCGGCCGGACACGTGAGCGTGATTTGCAACGGTCAAGGCTCAGCAAGGCAGCTATATATTGGCGCGTCGGAATTCCATACCTCAACCTCCTGTCTTCCCAGGGCTCCAGGCTCTCATATATACCCGGTCCTGCAGCTGGGATCACAACACCTGTACCCTCACTCGACAGTACACCGACATGGCCAAGGTCGAAACGCTTTCTCTGTCCTCTCTTCTCGCACTCTTCAGCTCACAAGCTGCGTATCAAGTTGGATATGCTTGGTTGTTTGGCATGAGTGAGTCGTCCTCATCTTCGTGATGACAGTAATGGTGCTTATGCGATTGTAGCTCTATGGGTCACCTTCATTGGAGGTAGGCTTTCGCGATTGGTTCATTGCGCTGTACCTGAAGCTAAGTCAATCGTCGTAGGTGTCATTGCATTCAAGGCCCTCCCTAGACACCAGTTTGGTGCTCTCCAGCATCGTACATTTCCCATCTACTTTAGCCTCAGCATTGGGCTCTCGTCTGCGCTCCTTGGCCTGTGGACTTACAGTCACCCAGTGGTGCTCACGCACTACCTGAACCCCGCTGTAACGGACGTTGCTCAAGCCTACGCTCTGGTGACCGTCGTGCTCTCCAACTGTGCGAACCAGTTTGTGATTGGTCCTATGACCAGCAAGTATGTGTAACATCCGGAGATCGAACAAGGACAAAGCTGACGAACTCTACAGGACCATGTTCCAGCGTCATCGTCTGGAGAAGGAGGAAGGGAAGGCATACAACGAACCAGGAGTGCGTCTCGCTCACGTTCATGCATCGCTAGCAATACTGACGGCTTCTGTTCCAGGTGTCTGAGAAGATGAAGGCTCTGAACAAGACGTTCGCGCAGCTCCACGGCGTGAGCTCCCTGGCGAACATGGCGACTTTCTTCGCGGTGCTCTTCCACGGCCTGTACATTGGCAACCACGGTGCGGGCATTAAGAACATATTTTAATCACGTAGGGCTTGCTTGTTGTTGTACAGGTTGGATCAAGCTTAGGAGGCTCGGAGTTGGAAACGGCTTAGAACCTTGTGTATTGTTGCCTTGCCGCGCGGAGTGAGAATATCGAGAGCACAACAACACGACGCATCGTACACATTCATGCACCGACTGAATCCACCCCAGGCATGAAGCCCTCCTTCAACATCCGTTCCAGCCGCCTGATCTCCTCCACCGACGTCGCGCTCGCGATGGCTGCCCGCACCTTGTCCGCTTCCTCCTTCGACATCAATCTCCCGGCCTTGCCGTGGCTCGCGGGCTTAGGCTCATCCGACGTGACGGCAGTTTTCGATGAGTGCGTGGACACGGTCTGCGAGATGGTGGTCGCCAGCTGTGTGGGGAGGTTGTCCGCCGTCAAGAACAGGGAGCGCGCTGCCTGCCTCTCCTGGAAATAACGCGATCGCGTGAACAGCGGCTCGGAGACGGACGCGAGATGGGAGACGCACCTTGTCGCGGATCCTCTGGAAATCAAGCACTCTCAGACTGGGCACACGGTAGGCAAGCCACTCCCGATACCACTTCTTTTCCCGCACGGGGTTCCCTAGCAGGGACAAGTATTGCAGAGACTTGACATCCTTCAGCGGCTCGAGGTCCCCGAGCTCGGCGATGTTGTTGTTCGCGAGTACAAGGGTGGTGAGGTTGGGTACAGAGAGGTGGAGCGAGGCGGAGATGGAGGATATTCGGTTGTTCGCGAGGAGGAGTGTTCGTAGTCGGCGGAGGAGGGGGATGTTGCCCAACACAAGGATCGAATTGTCCGTAAAATCTATACAATCATGCTGGTCCTGCAATGCCAAACGCATCAGATTCCCTGGGGCCGATGCGATGGGCAGATATGATTCCTACCTTAGTTATACCAAGGTTTTCGATGGCAGGGATGGTGTAGCCTATGAGCAAAAACTCTAGTAAGCGACTCAAAATGCGCGCACCGTAACGCACCTCGGAAGTCCAGCTGCCGCTCTTTGACCGGATTGAGGTGGGAGGGAGCGGACTGGATGAGCTCGGGGGTGAGCTTCATGGCGGTCGAGCAGGGTCGAACGCGTTGGACAGACGAGGCCCAGCGCGAGGGCGAGTCGCGCACGTGTGGCGCGCAATCAGCGGGGAACCTGACGCGCCCGCGCGCGGCCAGTGCAAGTGGCTGCGGCGTGCGCGTTGGCGGAACCGTTTGTGTGCTCTTTCCCTCCTCTCACTCCTGCCATCATGAAGCCCGTTCATCACCGCCTAAACCTGTGAGTCGAACGTAGCCTGATGCACAGTGTGCGCTCATACTGTCCGAACAGGTACATAGACGGGCAGGAGACGTATACGTTCGTTCCCGTTGAGCCAGTTGGGGCCCGCTCCTTGACGGTGTATCGGAACTCTGGGGACATCGTGCTCAATGGTAAGTCGTTCCATATCCGCGGTTTGAGCGAGAGTTCAATATACAGACAGCGCCGAACACCCCCCTACCTTCCAATGCTGAACGGTCCGTGAAGACGATATATGGCATCTACGGGATGATCACGCTTGCCATGTGTACGTCCACTTGCGCTCCCATTCGCACGTGAAGCTCATCTCTGGAACAGCTGAATACATTATTGTCGTCACGGGCCGCGAGCTGCGCGGCCACATCATGAGACAGAACATCTACCGGGCTACAGAGTATGATATCCTCCCCCTTAACCCTGATGTCTCTGTCACTACACCGCCCAATGCTGTGGAAGCACACCTTTTGGCCCTTGTTCGCTCGCACCTTCAAGGCGGCACGTTCTTTTTCAGTTACGCGTGGGATATCACCCGGAGACTACAAGCGCAGTGGAGCACTCTGTCGCAGGATGGCGATAAAGCGCTTTGGGAAATTGTGAGTCTGTCACGTAGCATAGTAGAGCGGGCTCTGACCTCAACTGCGCAGGCGGACGACAGGTTTTTTTGGAACAAGTACGAACCCAGTCACGGCAAAGCGAGCTAGTAGCTGAGTTGAGGATTGCAGGTACCTCCACAATAGGTTCATCGACATCACGTCCACCAACCCCGATCAGAATGTGAGTTTGGTATATATTTACCCCGTTTAACACTCGCTCATTGACGTATCATTTAGCTGAGCCCATATATCCTTCCGGTCATGTACGGCAGTGCGTACCCCAACCCAGCGCAGCTCATGGTCGTCCTGCTCACTATCGTCGCTCATGTCACCAAGCCTTCGACATCCGACCTGTCCGTATCAGTATCTACCAGCTCCGCCTTTGTCTCATGAGCCGACGCTCCCGCTACCGCGCAGGAACGCGCTATTTCCGTCGTGGCGTGGATGCTGACGGTCATGTAGCGAACTTCAATGAGACGGAGCAGATCCTACTCGTCGGTGACGAATCCGGTACGCAGCTCAGCTTCGTGCAGATTCGCGGAAGTATTCCAGTGTACTGGGCGGAAGTCAATACCCTGCAGTACAAGCCAGATCTCCAGGTCATGGAGCTTCACGACACTGTGAGTGCACACCAGTGGTAGTGATCTAATGTTCAACAGACGCAGGTTGCCGCTATGCGAGCGCATCTCCACGAAACGAACACGCTGTACGGAGAACACAGCCTGGTCAATTTGGTGAACCACAAGGGTTACGAGAAGCCCGTCAAGGAGGCGTTCGAGAAGCATTTCGCTCAGGTATGTGCTCCCAAATCATTTTGCCCGCATCTCTGCAATATTACGTGTAGGCAAACGTGCCGAAAGCGAAATATGAGTACTTCGACTTCCACTCCGAGTGCAAGAATATGAAGTGGGATCGTATCAGTATCCTCATCGCCAAGCTTGAGGAAGACTTGATCCACCGAGGGTGAAGCCCCCCTGATCAATTGGCGCGCCAACTGTAGCTGATGAAAGATGCAGGTACTTCCATCTGGACTCGAACAAGCCGGAGCCTGTCAAACTTCAAAACGGTGTTGTTCGGACGAACTGTATGGACAACTTGGATCGTACCAATGTGGCACAATCTGCTATCGCCAAGTGGACGCTCGACCGTCAGTTGAAGGACCTTCGGGTGATTCAAGAGAACGATTCAATCGACAACTATGACGAGTTGACCCATGACTTCCGCGAAAGTACGTACACCTTCCTTCATTACTGACGCCACTTCATTCATAACCATTCTACAATTGTAGTGTGGGCGGATCATGCCAACGCGATATCCGTTGCCTACAGCGGTACAGGAGCTCTGAAGACAGATTTTACCCGCACGGGCAAACGAACCCGCAAGGGGCTTCTAGAGGATGGGTGGAACTCCGTCGTGCGTTATCTCAAAAATAACTTCTTCGACGGCACTCGACAGGTGAGGCTGTTGCTTGCCACATGTCTTCCTGCACGCATCCTGAGGTGATTTTGTAGGACGCCTTTGATCTCATGACAGGTGCATGGTGGCCGCGCCGAGGGTGGAATCCCACCACGTTGATCGTCGATCAGCGACCGCTCCTCATCCGTGCGGTAAGTGCCCTCTAGTGCCGTACGGCCTCCCCATTTTGATCCTTTCACTCGGCAACTTCAGCCTCCGTACATCCTCGGGTTCTCGCTGTTCATGATTTGTGCGGGCATGACGCTCCCACGTACAAGCGGTATGTTTCCCAGACGATCTTTTCGCTCCCATCTAACACGGCCCTTTCTGCGCCCAGACTACTCACTCCTGTACTATTTCTTGGTCTGGTTTTTCCTCGCCTTGGTATCGCTGCTGTTCGTTTTCATTCACGGCATCGAATACGTCAACTGGCCGCGGCTCCGGCCCCTCACCAACATCATATACTACGAGGGTCCGGGCTTCCGGTCTGGCCACCACGGCAAGGGGCTTGGCTTGCCCCTTGAGAAATCCAAGACCGCTGCGCATTCTGAAGAACATCGGCGTGCAAAGAGCAAGAAACTAGACGAGATCGAGATGGGGACAAAGGAGCGTGTGGATTGAGTGCTGCGGGCCCGGTAGTGCCGGCCTGCGGAACCGGAGGGCATTGGACGCTGCTCGTTGGCTCGTACTCTACATACATATGGTAATTTACGACTTGTCCATGGCTTTTTGATGACTGTATGAGCAACGAGCTTTTGTATCCTACCACGACTGCCCCCGAGTACCGCACGGGCCGTAAGACGTGCGCTACGCCACAGCGGAGTTTGAACAGGAGGCGTGACAACTCCGACCCGGACTTGGTGCGCGAAGTTCGCTCGCGTAACGGGAAATTTACCCATCACCTACCCCTACCCCGACCTCCATGAGCAGCATAGGCGTAAAGCGCGGTTCCGGCTCCGACGTCGAGAAGAACCCCCTGGGCGACGTGGAGCTCAGCGATGAGGACGCCGTCAAGCTCCAGACGGTCCAGAAGGACATCGCCCGCGTCGAGCTCGCGCTCGGTATGTGCCTTTCCCGCGTATCTCCCGCCCCCTCTCCCGCCACTGACCCGCTCGCGGGAGCCCCGGGATCCCCCTCCGCCTATGATACGCGACTGACACGTCTGGACGCGCTTTGTCTCCAGAGCGCCATGCGCAGAAGAAAATGGAGCCCGTGTACACGAGACGGCGCCCGATTGTGAAGGCCATTAACAAGTTCTGGCCCGTCGCGCTCCTCAACCACCCCATGGTCGCCATGCACATCCAGCACGCGTCGGACCAGGCGGCGCTGAGCTACCTGGAGGACCTCTGGCTGGTGCGCGACGCGGCCGAGTCGCGCTGCTTCACGCTCGAGTTCGTGAGTACATACTGTCATGATGGCTCGCCACCGCGCGCGCGCCGGACGCATTCGGCGCGAGAAGGTACGCTGACACCTACGTGTAGCACTTCAAGGAGAACCCGTACTTTTCGAACTCGGTACTCAAGAAGGAGTACAAGTTCATGCCGCCGCCGGTCGAGGCGGACGACAAGCCAGACGCGGACGGGATCACGGAGACAATGCTCGAGTTCACGTGGGAGCGCGACGTCGAGCCGCAGGTGAGCGCGCATCCGCGACGCGTCGTGGTGGAGATAGGAGGAACTGATGTTTGGCGGGGACAGGCCACAAAAATCGAGTGGAAGGACGACGAGCGAAACCTGACGAAGCTGCACGCGCGGGTGACGGGGACGGGGACGACAGCCTGCCATTGGAGGCGGGAGCTTCTTCAACTTCTTCGAGGTCTCGAGCGATCCGTTCGAGGTGCGTCCAGTTGCGCTCGCTTTTCTGGCGGGGGGAACGTTGTGGCTCGCGCTGACACACCCGGGGGTGGCCTGCGCAGCTGGGGGTGTCGATCGCGAACGACGTGTTCCCCGAGGCGATTGAGTACTTCCTCGGTCAGGCAGGCGGGGACGACAGCGACAGCGACGAGGAGTCGGACGACGACGAGGACGAGGATGAGGAGGAGATCGACCTCGAGAAGCCGCGGCCGAAAAAGCAGAAGAAGGCATAGAGCCTGCCGTGGATGCCGGCCGGCCGGCGCTGGGCACGGCCGGGGCCGGGGAGGGCCGGGGTCGGCGTACGGGCGGAGGGCGGCGGGGAAATGATGTACGAGCTATGTTTAGCGTAGCGAGCATTGGATGCTAAACTTGTCGACGCCATCCTGCCGGTGTCATCGTCTGGCGGGTGGCTTTGTGTTTGCGGCTGTTGTCTGTCTGCGAAGGCCAAAAGGAAGAGGGCAGCTCCCACTCGCCCTTATCCGTTCCGCCGTCGCCTCAACGGGACGCTTTTCTCTCCCTCGCCAGGTCTATACGCTCTTTACCGCCTCCGTCATGAAGCTCGCCGTCGTCCCTGCCCTTGCCCTCCCTGCCGCAGTCGCCGCCCACGCCGCGCGCGATGTGCACCTCCACGCCCGCCAAAGCGCTGCCACAGGCTCCTCCTCTGCTGGTTCTGTTACGACCCCCGCCGCGGGTGCCTTGACCACCCCCTCCCTGACGTTCACCCTCCTCTCCACGAACCCCACCGCCGTTCCCCTCACCGAGATCGCCTCTGGGGTGTCTTCGTTCGCGACCGTTGCCGCGACTACCACCTTCGCAGCGGGCACTACCCCCACCTTCCTGCCCAATGCTCCTGCGCTCCCTAATGGTGAGTTTGCGCTTCTACCATCGGCTATACGCTTCCCGCGAGGCGCGCGTTGATCTCGTCCCCACGCAGCCGCGGCGCTCGTCCCATCAAACTACCCACCCTTGGACAAACCCCGGACCCCACCTCAGACCAAGTGAAGGCGTGGATCCAGGAAGTCAACAATTCAGGTGTGACCATCCCTAGCTTCTCGCCTACCAACCCTGGTGGATGCGCGAACAACACCGCGGCCGCCGCGGATGCAAGCCGATGCTGGTGGACGTGCGGTGGCTGTGAAAACAACGATGTCTCTACGTGCCCCAACAAGTTGACATGGGGTTTGACATACGATGACGGCCCCGCTCTCCACACTGGCGACCTCCTCAATTACCTTGACAGCCAGAACCTCAAGGCTACGTTCTTCGTCGTCGGTTCGCGCGCGATCTCATACCCGTACCTCCTCCAAGAGGAGTTCATGGCCCAGCACCAGATTGCCGTTCACACCTGGAGTCACCCTCAGATGACCACGCTTACCAACGAGCAAGTCATTGCTGAGCTCGGCTGGTCGAAGAAGATCATTACGGACGTGACCGGCGTTACCCCGCGCTACTGGCGTCCTCCCTTTGGTGATGTTGACAACCGTGTGCGCGCGATCGCCAAGGCCTTGGGTCTCGAGACTTCGCTCTGGACCCGCATTAGCCCAACCGCCACGTTCGACACTGGAGGTGAGTATTCAGTTCACAAAGATGTGCCACCTTTTTCATGCGGAAGTTTTCGAATAGATTTCGACATTCCGGGCGGTCTTGTCACCGCCAACCAGGCACTCAACAACTGGGAGGGTATCATGGCCAACGCGACGACGATTAACACCGGTTTCATTGTCCTTGAGCACGATCTCTTCCAGCAGACCGTCGATCTTGCCACCGGCTACATCCTCCCCGACGCCCTTTCGCGCACGCCCAAGATCACAATCGAGCCGATCATCACCTGCCTTGGTCTTCCCATCCGGGATGCGTACATTGAGACCAACGACAATTCGTCGAACCCTGGTGAGTACCACATTCGTGCTCGCATCTCAGCTTTCTCAACGACACCTTTGCAGTTTCGTCTGGGTCGAATGCCCAGACAACCAAAGGCACGAACTCGTCCGGGAACTCAAACACGAGTGCGGCGGTCGGCGTGTCTGCGCCGGCATCGTTCATTGCGCTTGGTCTCGCTCTTCTCTCTAGCGTGGCGGCTTTCCTGCTCTAGAACAATCATGTAATGGACATTTAGCGATAGTTTCTTGTGGACTGGTTCAATACAGTATCTGCCTTGATCGGCGTCCTGGCTTTTTCGTACGCCCAAGGCGATTGAGAAGAGCGATTGGTGCGGAGTTTGGAAGTGGCGGGTAGTAAGCTTTTGGACTCTTGGGCCCCACGCGAATATTATTTCGGCATCGTCTTCACTCTCTGGAACATCATCGCGATGTTAGCGCTTCGCCTCGGGTAAGATGGTCGCACTGGTGCGAAGTCATGGCGGGCCGTTATAAGAAATCCCTACACTACTAGTGCTGTCACATTGTGCACCTCTACGATACTACTCACTCACACATAGCAAACGCATATTAGCATCATGTATCAGTTTCTGCCATTACATCAGTTCTGTTCTCTACCGTACCATGTGCGAGCCCGAGTCAAGATCACGCGAGATGACTAGATGCCCCGCGATCTACAATAGATAACGCTGGCGAGCGACGTGCAGCCACAGATACTTCGGCGTCCCTCCGAAGTTTCATCCGCCGAGTCAACGCACGGCGTCCTCATCTCTCTCCCTCCTCCCACCACCATGTCCGCCGAACAGGCCCCGTCGACCTCGACCGTCCCCCCGCACCCGGAGCAGGCCGCCAGTGGGGACGCCGCACCTGAGGTCAAGCCCATCGCCGCGCCGGAGCACGCGCAGATCGTCACGCCCTGGGATGTCCAGGGCTCCGTCACCGCCGACGGCAAGCAGGCCGCGATTGACTACGACAAGCTCGTGGACCAGTTCGGGACGCGGCGCATCGACGACGCGCTCCTCGCGCGCTTCGAGCGGCTCACTGGCCACAAGCCGCACATCTTCCTCCGCCGCGGCATGTTCTTCTCCCATCGCGACTTCGACAGGATCCTGGACCGGTACGAGCAGGGCAAGCCGTTCTTCCTCTACACCGGGCGGGGCCCGAGCTCGGACAGCATGCACCTGGGCCACATGATCCCCTTCATGTTCACCAAGTGAGTCCGCCACAGTCTCATGGTCGCGGAGCCCCGCGGAGGTCAGAGCGGGCGAGGGTGGGGTGCGCGGAGATGGCGCGGCCGCGTCCCTCGCCCCCTTGGACGCCTGCGCGGCGCTCGCGAACCGTGTGTGTGCATATGCAGGCGCCTGACGGCAGTGCGGGCGCGGAGGTGGCTGCAGGAGGTGTTCGACGTGCCGCTGGTGGTGCAGCTGACGGACGACGAGAAGTTCCTGTTCAAGCACGAGCTCAAGCCGGAGCAGACGTACGGGTTCGCGAAGAAGAACGCGCAGGACATCATCGCCGTCGGCTTCAAGCTCGAGCGGACGTTCATCTTCTCGGACTACGACTTTGTCGGCGGCGCGTTCTACCGCAACGTCACCAAGATCTCGCGCGCCATCACCATCAACCAGGCGAAGGCGACGTTCGGCTTCAACGACTCGTGAGTCCGCCTTGCTTTTCCCGCTCGAAGAGCCGGTCGCTAACCCGCGGTCGTGGGCACGCAGTGACAACGTCGGCAAGATCCACTTCGTCGCGATTCAAGCCGCGCCCTCGTTCTCGAACTCGTTCCCCCAGATCTTCGGCACCACGTCCGACATCCCGTGCCTCATCCCCGCGGCGATCGACCAGGACCCGTACTTCCGGCTGACGCGCGACGTCGCGACGAAGCTCAAGTACCCGAAGCCTACGCTCCTGCACGCCAAGTTCTTCCCCGCGCTCCAGGGCCCGCAGACGAAGATGAGCGCGTCGGACCCGAACTCGAGCATCTTCATGACGGACACCGCGTCCCAGATCAAGAACAAGATCACGAAGCACGGCTTCTCGGGCGGCCAGGAGTCGCTCGAGGAGCATCGCCGGCTCGGCGGGAACCCGGACGTCGACGTCGCGTACCAGTACCTCGGGTTCTTCATGGAGGACGACGAGGAGTGGAAGAAGTTGGGCGAGGTGCGTGCGCGCGCTGCAGCGTACACATGCGACGGGGCTGACGGCGATCGGGGGTCCAGGACTACCGGAAAGGAGAGCTGCTCACGGGCGAGCTCAAGGGCAAGTGCATCAAGGTCTTGCAGGACTTTGTCAAGGAGTTCCAGGAGGTGCGTGTTGTCTTCTACATGACCTACGGTCGCCCTTTGCTGACGATGCTGTCGCAGTCGAGGGCCAAGATCACGGAGGAGCAGATCAGGGCCTTCATGGACGGCAGCCGACAAATCATCCCCCACTTCGGCAGGAGTGCCGCGGCCGCGGCACCTGCAGCATGAAAAGCCACAGTCGCTGGGTATATGCACGCCGGATGCGGGCTGACGGGTTCGGGGAGAAGTACACCCAATTTGTTGTAGACCTAGACTGTATTTGGGGTGTAGGCTTGCAAATGTAGTCCTAAACTGCCACTTGACCGCGATGGTATGTGCACGTAAACCGGAGCGATGATCGTGCAAAAGTACGCACAACAGTGCGCAGATGAGATACACGAAAGCGAGTGGGTTAGGAATGAGACTGCATATGCGTTCAGGGTGACGTCGACGAGGTCGGTTTCCACTCTGGTCCGTCGTGCTTCCACGCGCCGTCCGGGATCAAGCGCTCAACGTTCAACGGCGCGGTGGCTGTGTCGTGGGTACGTCCCCTCTTCGTACTGTGCCGCCTGTGCCGAGCGTGTGCCGACGTCGTGCTCGATGCCCTCAAAGATGGGAAGCATCATTTCCGGCCCATTGAGTCAACTTTGCTCTCCGGCCGGTGAACGGCGGGTATGAACGATGCGCCAGGACGTATTGCGCGTGTGCGGAGATAGAGCGCTCCACCCGCACCACACGCATTCCAATCGTCCCGAGGGCTGCGCGCTCCGTCACGTAGTAGCCGCCATTCCGAATTTCGTTGAATTCGGAGGCACGTCACTGCTCACACGCCCGGACCGTCAAATGCGGTTATTTTGGGAACCAGTTACGCGCACGAGCGGCGCCCTCGCCGGCCGGCGTGCGGCGTTTCGTTCCTGTCGTCAAGCCGGTCGGCCTGCCGGGAGCGCTGCGGCCGGCCGGTCGGGGAGCGACGTAGACGCCGAAATGGCCGGGATCCGGGGGGGCTCCTCATTGAAATATTGAACCTGCCACCCGTTGTGGGGTACTGACGTGAGCTGGGGCTCGGTCGAGGGCTTGGCATGTTGCGCTGAATCCTGATGGCGACGTGGTGTACGGAAGCCGCGAGCCACCCAACTACAAGTGCTTGTGACGATAGACAATGCGGCGACTGCGGTCGGAACGCGTCCTGCTGGGATCCCGCACCCCACGACTCGGAGCATCTGACACCCATCTCGCGCTGATGATAATGATGAATTCATGCCAGAGCTGTAAGTATCTTCGTAGCGCTAGACACCCGTCTCGCGCGGCTGCCCCTGTCCAGAGTGCCACTCGGACCACGCATGTACGCCGCCGAGCAGGCGGTCTCGAAATAAAACGCGGGGTGAAGAGCACGGCAATCGTGACCAGAGAAAACTAGCAGCACTCTCCTCGGACAATCATCAAGCTCGTACTGGTGGTTATTTGCGGGACACCGCGTAAAGGCGCTCTAGTTGCCGTGTGCGGCGGGCATGAAGCGATACCTATTGCATATCTATAACAGCCGCGACACGTATATACTCGTAGAGCCCCATGGCCATGTCCTCCCCACGGCGCTCGGTCGACGTCTGAACGTCTAAGTTTAGCTGAGTCGTGTTCGGGCGAAGCCTGGTGCGCGTTCAGTATATGTACCTTGGCTGACGGCGTCCTGACCTATGTAAAACTTCGGCCCTGACGGCGGCCTGGGTCGCGAGCGGACCGCACATAGTTGGTGAGTTTGAACAATCTCTTATACTGATTAGCAAGAAAGGACGGTGAGCGGATCCGTAGGGAGTAGCAAAAGTAAATCCAGGGAAGACGGCGAACATTCCGGGTGAGAGAAAGAAGATGAAAGGAGCCCCGAGTCCTGCGAAGCGTACACGCGCAGACTCCGAAATAGGTCCCACGCACAGAGCTTCAAAACCTTGCACGACAAATGCATACCGGACGCCCGAGGACGAGGGTACTAAGGGTGATGATAGATATCCAGGGAATATGGTAAGAGGGTAAATAGGACAGAGCTCGCAATGTTTGTGACCCGTAGCCGCGTTCGACAGAGCACCGACCTCAGCATGCAGTCGTCGTAAGCACTATACGATGCGTAACAAGAGAACCAATCCCGCTCGAGAGTGCAAGGAGCATGCTAATCCTACACGAAAGTCCAAATGTCCACCGTGCATCTTCGCGCGGGCGTTGACCCTTGTTATGCTTTCCATCTCCAGGTGAACGCAGCAACGCGAGAGTCGCCGGAAGGCGACGCTCACGCGATGACGAGCGCGGAGCCGAGAACGCTGAAAGCGAAGGCGACCGCAACGCCGACAATGGCAGTCGACTGGGCACCAAGGAGCGAAGCGGCGCCGCTTTTACCGGGGGAACTGCCAGAGTCAGTCGCCTTGGAGCCGCCGGTGGTCGTCGTGGGTGCAGACGGCGTGAAGACGGCGGAGGGGCTGGCAAGGCAGGATGACGCAGCGGCGTTGGCGTCCTGGATGGAGGAGGGCGCCTTCGAGTTGACGGTCGCGTTTCCGCTGAAGTCACACGAGGTGGCGACGCGGTTCGTGATCTCGTAGAACTCGCTCATGACGAACGAGAGCTTAGTGCCTGTAAAACAATGACGCGGGGTGGGGGAGTAAGAGAAGAGTGACAAGCCGGCGCCAAGAAAAAGCGGTACACGGACCACGACTTACTAGGATCACAGAATGCGACACGGCCATAGGTGCCCAAGGTGCCATTGCCGGAGATGTCATTGCAGTTGCCGCCGTTCTGGCCGAGTTGGGAACATGTAAAGTCGAGGAGCGAACCGACGATAGCGGAAACGTTCGACGTTTGCGGCGTGAACAAGCAGCTGAGGACACTATCGAGACAACTGCAAGACGCGTCGTTGGGAGTGGGCGGAATGGTAATGGACGCCATCCAAGCATCGTTCGTAGCCGGACAGCTAGGGTACTGAGTTGCACCCGCGTCGCTCTGGGAGGGAACTGTCGGGAAGGAAACCTTGCCGTACTGAGAGACGAGGCGAGTGAAGTCATCACTGGTCGTGACCGTTGATCCATCGATAGTAACCATTCCGAACGAGCCGCCTCCACTGGTCGCGGGGAAGTAGCTGAACGCGAGGCCACCGGACCAAACGTTAGACATGGGCTGGCTGAAGATGGTCTCAACCTCGGTCCAGAGACGCGGAGGGTTCGACACACAGCCAAACTCGGAGAAATAGGCGGGAACGTTGTAACCAGCGAAATCTCCGTTCTTGCCGTTGTACACTGAGGGCGAGTCGTCACCGCAGAACTCACTAGGAAGGAGAAACGCTATAATTAGACGATTGCCGCGGGCGCACTGCGGAGTCGGACTCACTAGTTGTTCAGACCGAACAGGTCAATTGACGTGGAGCCAGAGTTGCCGTTCGAGGGGTCGCAAGCAAGGTATTCGGCGAGGGGAAGGACCCAGTTATCGGCGCCGTCGATGGCAGCGTATCCAACGAGTGCAGATGACTTGATTGAGTCGCTGTGAACGTAAACATTGTTGATACAACGAGTCAATCATTTGAGGGCTGTCATCACACGAGGAGTAAACACGCACAGGTAAGCCCTTGTGTCGCGAGCGGCAGCTTTGATGAACGGCGCAGCGCCAGTCCCTTCGCCAGGGTCCGTGATAATCTCGTTGCCGATGTTGTAAGCCAGAACGTTGTCATACTTGTTGAAGACGTTGATGGTGTTAATGTACTGGTTAAGGAGGTCCGTCGTCCATTCGGGCTGGAGCCGGTCGATCGAGCCTTCACCGGGCAAAGCAAGATCGATGCTAAAAGGATATGAGCAGGGGACAAGCAACAGATTCAGACACGGCGACGCACATCATGTAGATGCCAGCCGCGCTGAAGGCGGCCATACAGTCGTCGTGGTTGAGGGACGAATTGACGCTGTAAATGCGGACGGCATTGACAGTGAGTTGCTTCAAGAAGGGTATGTCACGGTTGCACGCGCTTGCGTCGGTGAGAGGGTCAATGAAGGTCGAGGGCTCCGAGAAGGGATTGTTGGGGTCGGTGGAGAGTACGCCTGGGAGACGCGGTGTATTGGAGGGCTGGGGAATATGCGGGAGTGTATGAAGAGCGCACCTTGCTCCTGGTATGCAATGCCCTTGACGAAAAACCTGCTGCCATCCTCGTTGTAAAGGTATCTTCCGTTGCGCGTAACTTTTGGGAGAGCGTGAACGCCGGTAGCGACGGCGAGGAGGCTGGCCGCAAAGGCGGCGAGGCGGGAAAAGCGGGAGGAAAGCATTAGCCCTCTTGGAGGGGAGAAGGGAGTGTAGGTGGGGGGCGAAAAGAACGGCTGGCGGGTGCGGGCACGGGGGTAGTAATAAAGACGGAGCGGCCGAGTCTGGCTCTGGTGGCGGTCGTCGATGGGGACAGGGATCGCGCCTGGGAGGCGTCCGAGGCCGACCCCGTGCCTGTCCAACGCCCTTCCAGCGCCCCAACGCCTCACACGCTTGGCCGTTTACCTCGGCGATGGCTGGGCACGGCCTGTCTTACCCGTCCCGTCTGCCTTTCTGGACATATTGTAACAAAAATAATCAGTAGGAACGCCCGCCTAGCTCAATCGGATAGAGCGTCAGACTCTTAAGGCGGGTGATCTGAAGGCTGCGAGTTCGACCCTCGCGGTGGGCTAGTGTTTTTGGGGTTACACGCCGTCGATATTTAGCAGTGGTGAGTTTTTGCATCTGCCAGGCATTCCCACCAATCGTGCAGAAATAGTAAGGAGGGCCACAAAAGTACAGAGATTTGGCTGCCAGAGCGTGTTCTATTCCTGTCGTAAAGCTATCGTAAAACGTCCGAGTAAAGGTGGCTCGGCATGTCGTGAACGAAGAGAGCACGGCATGCTCAGCATGTCTGGAGTTCTATCCACGATAGGTACAGCAACTGAACAATGCGGTGAGCTTTATGCACAGCCTGTTGTATTCCAAACGACTTGCCTGATCATGTAAGGAAGCGTGGATACAAGTACACTGGCCCAGGCGGCCCAGAGAAGGATGAGGGCGTTTCCGGTTTCGACAGTAATGCCTACGGAAGCAGGATTGCTGGCTTGACCCACGACGAACCCGTTGATGTCCTGGCCCTTCTTGATTATGACGGTCCAGATGGCCGCTCCGATGAGGAGCGTCACTACACTGATTAGAGCGAAGGCAGTAGAGAGAAGGAAGAGCAGTGTGTGCTTGAGAAGCCCTCTGTGGATGTACGTAGTTCCTCCTTAGCCACAGCCACCAGGATGGAAGGGAGTACAAAACGCACGTGAAGAACGTAAGTGCAGTCGCAATCGTGCCGATGAGGATGAGGTAATAGGCTCCATTGGTGAACGACCCGAGGTAGTCGGAATCGATGAACGTCCCTCGTGTGAGGAGAGATGTGGTGATCGACGAGTAGTTGGAGGGCATGTCCGCGAGAATCACGGTGAATGGCTCAAACCGGTTGCCCGCGGAAACGTTCGAACACAGGCCCGTGCCGCTCACGGAAGCGCACCAGCCGTACAATCCGAACCTGTACTCGTCTCGGAGGCCGAGGTGCCGTTCAAGGGGAATGGTGTCATTGGCGGCATAGAGGCCGAAGATGGGGTCACCGAGCGCGACAGCGAGGCCATCGCTTCACGTGGACGAGTTAGAGTGACAGAAGACAGGAGAGATCGGCAATGGAGACTCGAGTACTCACCCGTAACCGGACATGTTCACTTTCACCTGCGCATGGCGTCAACTGGATGCACGTCACGTCGAGGCGAATTCTCGAATCACCATGGATATGCCTCGCGGGACCTTCGCCGTGTTGATTTGACCAATCTAGACGTCGGGAGATCATTGGCGGCGTGATAAGACAATCAGGACGCGGTACTCACATGCACGAAAATTAACATCATTAGCGCGGCGAAGCTGCACGGCGTGTTGTTAGTCTAGACCCACAGTTGACTTCCGCTGCCGAACTTACGAGAGGAAGGACGCGGTACCGATGCATACTTCGCCGCGCATGGTGCTCGAGGAGAGGGGGGGTGAGGGGAGAGGATTAGGGTATCCAGGGCGGAGAGGGGAGAATGGCTCGGGGCAAGAGCCTCGAGGATGCCTGACGCGACTCGCGCGGCGCGCGCGCTGCCCTCGCGAAAGTCCAAGTCACGCCAGGTCACGCCTCGCCTGCCTGTCCCGGCCCGTCCCAGTGCCCACGCCTGCGCAACGCTATGGGCGTCTCCGACAAGGCCGGGATAGGGCGAGTGTGGCGAACTTGCGTGGTTTCCGTGTACGGTCTCTCCTCCTCTCCGATGGCTGTCTGAGTCCGCTTTGCTATACTGTGCTCCTCATTGTCCTTGACATCTCCGCACCGCCCCCCATCCCCCATGGAACCTTCGCGTCAAGCGACAGGATCTCCTGGACGCGCGTCCGCAGCGGCCGCCACTTCCAACATTACCCCTTCAACCTCAGAGGATACGGTGGACTCCAAGAGCAATGTGGTGAAGCGCGCTATGGACGCGACCGCGGAGAAACTTGCGGGGGCAAGTCCTTACTCTCACAGAGCCAGCCGAGCATGTCTCCAGGACAGAGCCATCGCCGCATGTTTAGTCTTACTCGGGGAAAGGGTAAAGATAAGCAGCTGGACGAAGGTATGTTTTATCATAATCTCTAAGTCTGTGCAACTATCCTCAAACAACCGTGGATAGGCGTGCAGCAGGCGTCTCAGTCGCAGCAGCTCCCTGTACCTCCTGCATCCCCTAGGAGGTCACGGCACTCTTCTGGCGGCCAGAAGGAGGAAGATTCACCGTTTATCACGCCTCAATCACCTTCTCTTTTACCTCTTCGTCCAGAGAATGTGCTATTCCGTGGATTCCGATCGGTCTGTATGCATTGTTATTGCACCGGAGCTATATTCATTATATGCGTTCCAGATGCACACTGGCACACAGACGTTCATCCAGGCATTGCAAGCGGTACCCTGGGCTGAAGACCAGGATAATGACGACGAATACATGAATCACAACATCACCCCAGGAGAGCCGGAGAGCGACGACGAGGACAAACCAAGTGAGCATTCTCCTACGTACCCGAAAATGGTGCAGTGCGTGGGACATGACCCTCCGCAACACTCTTTTGGTGGTTGAGATGGAAAAAGTAAAGTTTTGCCTTGCCGTGCATGGAGGGCGGAGCGTTTCTCCGCTCCAGTATCGGTCGTCAGGGCTCCAGTCCCCCAAAAGAATGGGATAACTTCATTTGCGTTTCTACATGGTACCGCACTCGACGCTTCGCGGCGACGCACAATACGCACCGCGGCAGCTTTGGAATGTGTTACCCATCATGTGTCACAAGCGGCGCTGCTACCCCCGACCCTGCAGATTATTGACCGGCTGATCAACGTGTTTGACAGTGAGCCGACTAACGTCGTCGATTCATGCTATCTACCGGCCTCTAGCACGCCTCAGGAAAGGAGAAAGCTCCTCGACTAATCGTACCGCCCGGAATCCGGACCTCCCCAGTGTCGCCGACGAGGACTTGACACAACCAGAACTTGCGCACCTCGATGATGACGCGGAAGGAGACTTTGAGCCCATGGAGGGTGGGGTCATCACTAACGCGAGCCATGCCGGCCGTCAGTCACCAGAGCCCATCCCTGATCTTGAGACCTCAATTCCTGGTATCCCCGGAATCTCTACAATCATCAAGAGAGGCAGGGACAGAGCGACAAGTCGAGCGGGAAGCATGGCCACGGTGCGCGTTAAGCGTCGCGTTCAGTTGGCTGAGAAGTTGCGCGAGGTTTTTGAGCTTTCCGAGATCGGCGAAGTCGTCGCAGGTAAGCTTTAGCTGTTCTTGTTGTCGCCGCATATGCTAACTTCGACATAGAAATGCCTTGTTGGCTACTCCGCTCTGTTCGTGAGTCGATCATTGGTTTTGCCGGCTTGTCGCCGAACCCTCATGATTTCCCCAGTGCTCCAAGGGTACATGTACCTCACAGACGCATACATCTGCTTCTTTGCCCACCTTCCGTCCAGAGAGGTCTGTATGGTTGCATCTAGTTTCCAGCATCTGACTGGTTGCGCCACAGGATCAAGTGTTGAAGTCAGGCATGCTGTTCAAGAAGGCTCAACGCACCAAGCGTTGGATCAGGCATTGGTTTGTTCTACGAAATGATGTGCTGTCGTGGTATCAATCGTCATCGGCAAGCCTCCATTATTGCATGCGTTTGAATCATTGCTCACCTTTTAATAGGATCCTTATTTCCCTCATGGAGTCGTTGACCTTCGGTATGCAATCAGCTGTGAACCCGTTGACGAGAAGGACATCCGCTTGAGGACAAATCAGAAGTCCATTCGATTGTCGGCCGACTCTGTTCCCAGTCGCGACGAATGGGTCAAGGCTATTAAGAGGGTCATGCTCAAGGCGCAGAATGCAGGCGACAGTATCAAGGTGAGCCATGATGTTCAACTCTTGTATATCAATGCTCAATTGTCATGTTAGATTGCCATCCCGTACACTACGGTCGTTGATGTCGACAGGTCCAATGCCATGGATTTTAGCGAAACCATCGAGATCAAAGTGCAGGACAAGCATACCGACCTTGCTCTTGATTCCTACTTCTTTGCATACTTTCAAGACCTCCCCCTTGCGCTGGAGCAGATCCGTGATGCTGTTCGCACTTATCGCGCTTTTGCGACTCCTACTCTATCCACTGTAGTAGATAGCACGGCAGGTCGCCCATCTCCTCTCGGAGACCGCTCACAAGCCACCGTCCCTCCATCTGAAGTCTCTCCCAAGTCCCCTGGGTTCCGCCTCACCAGCTTCCTGAAGCCACTCCAGGAGACCCTCCCTATGACACGCAATGCCACTGCTCCAGCATCCCGCGACGGTAACGACGACTTCACCCATATCATCAAGCGGACTGGAGGTTCATTCGTCCCCATCATTGCATCGCCTGAGCACAGCTCTCCTCCAGAAGGTGAGCTTCCAAGGCCACCTGAACCTTCCCAATCATCCACCTCGAATCTGACTCCGACCACACCCACCATTCACACCTATCCTCCTTCAACGACTTCCTCTGTCGCAGATGTCCGCGCCTCGGTTCCTGCGTCCGCTCCATCCAGTTCCACCTCTCTGTGGTCGTTGGGTTTACCTCCCATGCCCAACTGGCTCAAGGTCCCCCCGCGTCCGACCCTGTTTGGCTCTCCTTTGACGCCTACACGTCCTCGCATTGAGGACTCGGTTACCATGCCTGTTCATGTCACGGAAGTCGTATCCTCCAGCGCATCCTCTGGCAACCGTCAAACGGCGAGTGCTTCGACCAGCGGCGAGTTTGGGTACTACAGCGTCTTAGAGACTCCGGAGACGTCTGTGGATCAGGAAACGGCGGATAAGTTCAGAATGGCCTTCGCCTTTGATGACAAGGAGAACGTCCTAGGCAGTGAGTTGTGTTCTGCTCACCTATTCTGTCGGAAGTCTTATCAAGTTTTTAGTGTTCACTGGACATCTGTTCAGGCTTCTTCCTGTGTATGGCCGTCTCTACGTGTCGAACAACCACTTTTGCTTCAAGTCGAGTGGACCTCTGACTACGAAGACAAGGGTACAGATACCTGTTATTCTCGATACCACATCCACTGACCTTATATTATGTAGATGATCCTTCCTCTCAGGGATATTCTTTCGACAGAGAAGCACAACGCCTTCCGCTTTGGACATCATGGTCTGGTCATCATCGTGAAAGGTCATGAAGAACTGTTCTTTGAGTTCGCAGAGGAGGAGCGCCGGAATGCCTTCATCAGCGTGATCAACAAGCAGCTGGACGACGTTCGCCAGCGCACCAACACACTTGACCCTCGATCTTCCGTGGACGCTCGCCGAGAGACACTCATTCTGGAAGAATTCGGCCCTAGGGATCCTCTGTCGAACCTGAGCGAGTCCCAGGATGGCTCAGCGGAAGCAGCGCCGGCATACATGTTCACCTCTCAGTCGTCGACGTTCCTGTCCTTCAAGCCCGAGAAGTCGTTGCACTTCACCATGTTGACGATCGGGTCGCGAGGAGATGTGCAGCCGTATATCGCACTCGCAAAGGGACTGATGGCAGATGGCCATCATGTGCGAATCGCTACCCACGGAGAGTTCAAGGACTGGGTTGAGTCTGTGAGTAGCATTCCCTTACCCAGGTCTCCCAGAGTATGTGTTCTGACGTATTCCCAGCACGGCATCGAGTTCGGCTACGTTGGCGGCGATCCCGCGGAGCTGATGAGGATTTGTGTTGAGAACGGAACTTTCACAGTCGCTTTCCTCAAAGAGGGCATGCAAAAGGTGCGGCGTTCAGTCGTCCCACGTTGACCACGTTTTTATGAGTTATCCAGTTCCGCGGATGGATAGACGATCTCCTCAAGACGTCTTGGGAGGCCTGCAAGGGCACAGATGTATTGATCGAAAGCCCTAGTGCGATGGCTGGTTATCATATTGCGGAGGCATTGAAGATACCCTACTTCCGCGCCTTTACCATGACCTGGTCGCGGACAAGGTGGGCTCTCTCCCATGATATGCTGTACCATTAAACTGACCGATTGGCAGAGCATACCCCCACGCCTTCGCGGTGCCCGAGCACAAGGTACGTTTGAGGTACACCAATAGTATGTGGATGTATCTAAAAACTGCTCTGCAGATGGGTGGTAACTACAACTACATGGTTAGTTGCAAAGGTTCGTGGATCATCCGGATCGTCGGCTCATAGTATATGTTTTCAGACCTACGTCCTATTCGACCAAGTATTCTGGCGCGGCACCGCTGGTCAGATCAATCGTTGGCGCAGGAACACGCTCGGTCTCCACGGCACGAATCTAGACAAGATGGAGCCTCACAAGATTCCTTTCCTCTATAACTTCAGCCCCACTATTGTTCCACCGCCACTAGACTGGCCAGAGTGGATTCGCATCACAGGTGAGCCATATTGATGATAATTGGAAGATCTGCCGACTCACCGTTTCTGAAGGCTACTGGTTCCTTGACGCGGCTGATGTGAGCGCGAAGAAGTGGGAGCCTCCACAAGACTTGCTCGATTTCATGACGGACGCTCGCAAGAACAAGAAGAAGGTCGTTTACATTGGCTTCGGCAGTATCGTTGTGCCCGATCCAAAGGCCATGACGCGCTGTGTCATCGATGCCATCGTGCAGAGTGGTGTGTACGCCATTCTGTCCAAGGGGTGGTCAGACCGTCTCGTCAAGAATCAGCCTGAAAACACCGAGCCGGAAGAGCCGCTGCCGAAGCAGATCTACCCCATCTCGTCTATTCCTCATGACTGGCTCTTCGAGCAGATCGATGCTACGTGCCACCATGGAGGAGCAGGCACTACTGGGGCTAGTCTGCGAGGTATGCACATAAATCGGTGGTTGGCTGTCCTTGGTTCACTGATTATTTTGCAGCCGGCATCCCCACAATCATCCGGCCCTTTTTTGGCGACCAATTCTTCTGGGCTGATCGTGTGGAGGCATTGGGAATCGGTGCTGCTTTGCGCAAGCTTACGGTTGAAACCCTGGCGGACGCGCTCCTCGAGGCGACGACCAACGACAAGATGATCGAGCGTGCCAAGGCAGTCGGCCAACAGATTCGAGCAGTACGTCCCTCATCTTTCAGACATCGACATACTTCCTCACACCTCTACAGGAGAACGGTGTTACCAACGCCGTCGAGATGATCTACCGCGATCTTGAGTATGCTCGTACGCTCATCAAGGGCGCCGCCCAACGCGAGGTCACCCATGACGAGTTCTTCGACGCCGAACATGCCACTATCCGCGACTACGCGTTCACCTCCACGTCCCCGGAACACCCCAGCCCTAGCTGGGGAGCTACCAGCGATTGGAGTGTCATATCTGACTCGGACGAGCCCCTTCAAGATGCCCCTTCTGCTGCTGCTGCTACTACTCCTGCAAAGTGATCCACTTACGACCATAGAGACCTGCACTCATGCCACATAATGACTAATATCCGCCTTCCTTTGTGCAAACCTAATGTCGCATATACTTGTGCTGTTTACTGTGCTATAGATCTCCTCTCCACCATGTATACTCGTCATACCACCCACTGTTCCACGAGCTACGCCTCCATCTCGTTGTTGATACACTTTGTGTCCCAAAATTCCTGAGTGTTCCTTCCGCCCCTCACATCGTCGCCGCGCCGCCCTCAGAGTAGTGCTCGTCGAAGATGCGCTTGCTGAACTGCCCAAAGTCCTCCGTCGCGGACAGCCGCTGGTCGACGTTCGGCTGCATGAAGAGCGCGAACGTCTCGCGCGACACGTTCCCCGCGCCCGTGCCCGGCACCGCGCCGACGCGCACACAGTGCGGCGTCGCGCGCAGCCGCCCCGCGGTCGCGAGCTCGAGCGCCTCCCCTGTCTGGAACGCGAGGCAGTCGGCGGGGATGGAGACCTTGGTGAGCGCGCCGCCGCGCGTGCGGATATACAGGCCCGAGGCGGGCGAAGGCGCCGTGACCGCCGTGGGCTCGCCGGTGGGCTCGCGATGGAGGTACATCGCCTGGGTGATACACGGTTTGGGATGAGCGAGGGAAGGAGGTCAAGCGGCTTGAGGCTCAGGACGCACCGAGCAGAGGCCGGTGAGAAGCGAGTGGTCGAGGTGGAAGCCGCACCAGCTGTCGATGGCTTCGTCTTCTGCGGGGACGGGGTTATCTGGGGACGGAGGGAAGTAGTGGAGCAGGCGGGCTTTGGAGGTTTGCGAGTCCTTGATCAGGTCGGCGAGAGATAGGGACGAGTCGGAGAAGTACGCGGAAGCTGGGAATCTGTGGTTAGCACTGAGATTTCATGGGAGCGGCGCTCTCTTACTGAAAGGTTGGCAGGCCGTTGCAAGCTGGCACCCCACGCCAAAGACGAAGCTGACACAGAAGATTTAGCGGGTGCCGCCAAGCTGTACTGAAAGTACTAGGTCTCACCCCCCCAGATCTTTGAATACCTGCTCGAAATCGCTGACTTCAGGAGTCTGAGATGGCCCTCAAATAAACGATCAGCCAGGTGTACTTTGAATACATACGGAGAGATTTACATATGTTCTTTCCGTAGTACTCTGGGTAAGCCTTGCGCAGAGCATCAGACACAGCAGGCTCGTCAAGTACGGGGTTGGCGTAGTAAGAGCCCTTCAATATATCTTGAGAGAATCCTAATCAATCTCGAGCAAAATGCAGACAATGTGTCGAGTTCTTACCTGGCTTTCCGTTCATAATTTCCTGTGAAACTGTATTCAGTTTCTGGACACAGTAGAGGCCACAACTCAACTACCTTGCCATGGGACCAACCAAAGCTATGATACACGATCAGTGAGATACGGCATAACCGAGGATCGGTACGAACCTGTATCTGCTCGACGCATCGGCGTACTTCTCCCGTTCGCTTTCGGGAAGCGTCGCAAATTTGTACGCGAGCTTGAGAAGCCTCTCGCGAGCAGGGGCATACGTCGCGGGTAGGTCGCGCACAACGATGATGCCCAGGCTGTCCGGGTTGGAGCCGAACGCCTTTTCTGCCATGGCGACGTGAGTGAGTGGTGTGGAGATGGCCATACAACAGAGTGGCCACGTACCGATGGAAGGAGTCAATGAGTGCGGCGCATCGCGCAAGGTGTTGTACGAGACCGACACGGCGCCTTCGGCGGTGAGCGTGATGCCGGGCGAGTTTGAAGCAACGGTGTTCATCGTCCTTCGGAGTGCAGTCCGTGCGAGAGAGAACATAGATCGAGTCGTGCGACAAACCTTGCAGTCGATTGAAGCGGTGCAAGAAAAGTCGGGAGGCGCCGCGCATTGACCTGGTCAAACACCGCATCGTGCCTGACCTTCAACGATCGCTGGCAGCTCGATGACTCGGCGCGGCCACCAGTGTCTGACAATCCTTGCCCCCTATCCACACCATACCTGCAGAGATCCTCGCCATCGTCTTCCAAGACGCCGCAATATGGCCACCCCAAGAGGACTTAGGCAGTCCTGTCCCATACTGCCACCCGCTTACCTGCCTGCGGTTGTGCGCAGTGTGCCACCGATGGCGCATCGTTGCCCTCAGTACGACGTCGCTGTGGTCAGCCATCGACTGGAGCTGCCGCAATAGTGCAGTAAAAGAAATGTTCTTGAATCGTTCTCAAACTGCACCACTTGTCATTACGGAGAAGGCCGCATCGATCCATCAGTGTCAGAACATGCTCAACGCATTCGCCATCTGGCCATCAAGGAAACGAGAGGCCCCGACCCGAACATGAAGGCCTTGGATCTCGATCTTCCCAATCTCGAGGAAACCACCGTCGTCGGAAACGTTGCAAGGCTCCATAGGTTTCCGCGCAGAGTTGGAGGCAGCGACATGTTCCCTAGCCCTCCTCAAAACCTTCGCAAGCTCGTGGTGCGCTTCGCTTCGTTCTTTCCTATGCTTCCAGACTACGGATCCATCACACACCTCTCCCTATCGGTCATGCGCAAAGTTTGGAAGCCTCACTTCTTCCACCTTCTCAGGACCTGCGGCCCCACACTGAGGAGCTTAACACTCCATCACTTCTCTATAGACCACTCCAAACGGGTCGGCCGACACGTTGTGCAACTCCCCTGCCTCCAGCGGCTCTTCGTTGATGGTTACACACTTTACACCTCCCCCTCGATTGCCTCCATTTCCCCTCATCGGCAGCCGTGCACATCACCGATAGAAGCATTTATTCCAGATTCCTCCCCCCACGTACACCCCACACTGGACGACACTCGAGCTAGACTTCAGCCCCTCAAAGGTCACCGTCGTCCTCGCTGGGGCCCCGGAGGCTCACGCGCAGCTCTCCCTCCGGTACACTCCCTGTCCCACCGATTGGTCTGGGGGTTCCTGGGGCGTCCTATGGGGGCTCCAGAACTTCATCCCCTGGAAACAGCTCGTCGCGGTCACTCTGCGCGCCGGCGCGCGCGTCCACACGGCGGTGACGTTCGTCGCGAACGGCCTGGCTGGAGCGCGGGGCGGCAAGATGGCCTCGCTGCGCATCATCACGAAGCGCCCCGGGAAGAGGCCAGAGCTCATGGAGGCCGCGGTGAAGGCTCTGGGGGAGGTCATCGGCGGAGACCCGCAGGAGAGCGAGGAGGTTGCCCGCGCGCCGTTGGGTTTGACCTCGCTGGAGCTCTGGGTGACGAAGAGGGTGTTTCTGGAGCAGTTGCAGCTTCGAGGGAGGGTGCCGGGCTTGGAGAGGATCGTCCTTCATTGCCCGAGGACGACGGAGGCCTGGGTTGAGCAGATGCGTGGGCAGCTTCCACAGTTGGAGGTGCATGTGCTGAAGGGTCATGTGCTGTTGGAAGTCAACCTACCGGCGCTGGACAAGGCGATGCGGGGCGACACCGGTGTTTTTGTGTAGGAAATGTGAGCACTTGAAAGAGTTTGTGAGTGAGGCGGAATGTGACTACCGGAAGCGTCCGCCGCGCCCGGGCCTACCATCTCTAGACGAGGAATCCAGAACGACAATGACGGCAATGTTTTACACAATGGGCGACTTAAACGTACACATCTGTCTAGAAATAACTTATCCGGACTCGTAACTGTCCCAAATATCTAAGCCACCACTCAAACAACGTACAGCTCGAGGTATCCACCACCGTGGCGCTCGTCCGGGCTGAGCCG